TGTTGCGATTTGTTCATTGCTCGCGTTTTGCCGTCGTCGTCCCAATAGTAGGGTTTAGGGTTTAGTGTAAAGACGACTCGCTCGGACCGGGCTGCTGGACAACGAGGCCTGCTGCAAAAAGGGTTTACTATTGAATAGTAGTCCCATCATCTTCCCAGCATCAGTTGGGAAGCGGCAAGGCGACCTGCATAGCTATTACGTCAATGATGACTTTGCTGAAGACGGACGAAGATGTGTGCAACAAAAGTTGCTATGATAATGCTGCCTAGGTGATGATAATGATGTTCATGATGATGCTGATGGCCCGCCGCTGGTGACGGCTATCGAGACGGTTGTGACGTAGCTTGAGTCGTAGTAGGCAATGCTGTCGATAGCTGGTGTGGTGGGGATGCGTGGTCATGACAATCATGCTACTTTCGGTTTGTGCATTTGCTTGTTAGTTCGACGTGCCATTGTAAGAAAGCCTTGGTCTGGAGCCTAGGATCGATCCCCGAGGCCGTGCCGCCGCAGATCGGCGGAGACGTTGACGTGAATATGTTAGGTTTTGCACATGCGCGGCTTAAGTCGTCCCTGGATTGAAGGTGCTTGCATCATTCTGGGCCCTAGGCCTAGTGAATCTCAAAGTTCTTGGCAACAGGGTTCGGTCCGGTTCGGTGGAGCGCAACAGACACCAGGTAGACGAGTGCATCCAACTGAGGGCAGGCCTTGCTGATAAAGAAAAGGCACGATTGGCCAGGGCTTGTCGTTGGCTGTTCCACCAGTTGTGGTACTGGTCTTGTCAACCACAGCAACTACTTTTCTTGGCACTAGTTTCCCTACTACGGCATCCACCTTTACTGCTGCTGCTGCTGCTCCTACAGTTACTATACTAGTAATGGTACTAGTACCAGTACCAGTACTAGTACTAGCATCGATCACCCTTTGGCTGGCCATCCATGCTTAAACCATGATAACGTCCATGCTACCAAGCCATGTCCAAGCCATGGTAACTTCCGTGCTACAACCATCCATTGGCCAGTGCATCCATGCCTAAGCCATGATAACGTCTATGCAGCTGTTCAGTCAAACGGACTTTCTGCTTGCGGGGTGAAAGAACTCACTGTGCAGAATCTGGCGTCAAGCCTCCAGACTGTGCTGCCGTTACATTCCCTGTTAAAGTCAACAAACCAGTCCGTGCAGAAACTTCGCTTTGTTGTTTTCGTTGTTGCTCGGATTTCGGGTCAGAACTGCCTTCTCAAGGTCCATTTCAGGATACGCGGTCAGAGTTTTTTCGGGATTCGAATGTTGCTCCTATAGAGCTCCTCCACAATATCCTGGACGGTTCGATCCATCCTGGACGGTTCGATCCAGTACGTGCTTTTCCAACCTTGTCCACAGACAGACTGGGGCAAACGAGGTGGTCCGCCCTAGTACTAATACGCTGCTACTGCTGCTACTGCTGCTGCTGCTGCACTCCTCCTGCTACTGCTGCTGTTGCTACTGTTACTGCTGCTACTGCTGCGACGGCGATGCCAGCTACATATCATATTTTAGTATATTAGTATGCACTATACTGTATTTATATGTATTGTAGTGAATTGAGTTGTATTGTATTGTAGAACATGATTTTATAACGTGCCATGTTGTTCTTGAGCATAATATATTGCGTTTCTTTATATTCGCATTTGCAAACACTCCACGAGTATAATGTTTGAGTATGAGCAGACATATATACCTACATACCTACCTACATACCTACCTACATACATACATTTAGTATATGTGTGTTTGTTTGTTTCTACCTGTCTCTCCTTTTACTTCCCTCCTCAGTCTCAATATCGGGTTACCCCTGCAGCCCTTCCACCAGAGATGAGGGCGGCTGCTTGCATCGCAGAGTCTTTTGGCCCAAGTCTTCCCCAAGCTACGTCGTTTCAAGAAGCTGCTTACCGGCTATGAAGCTCCTCGCCGGCTTTAGGTTGGCTGGTACCGAAGTCTAGAACCTGGAGTAGGCCCTTATTCGCTTTTTTAGGGTTCAGGCTCCCTTATAAGCTCCTTTAAACCAAAAAGGGCACCCTTTTTATTCCCAGGTTACTCTTGGGTCTAGTAGTTCGGCTCTAACGAGGTCTTTTCGGAGACTCCCACATTCCCCACCATAGTCATCGGTGGCCCTGTTTGCATTTCCCAAACGCACCTAGTGACTGGGGAATTCGCGACACTGACTGTCCGCTGGATAGTTGAAGGGTAGTCCGAAAGCATACAGACCACAGATGAGTCGGGTGTTGATCTTCCCGACTTCCAACAAAAAGTCTTGAGCCCTAACCTGAAATCCTCGTGCCTTAAGCACGAAGCCTATTTATCCATCAATCAACAAAGTCCCGGTTGACCTGTGCATACCACCTTAACTGCTAACCTGTGCATACCACCTAGACTTCTAAGACTTTGCCGAAATGCTTCGATTCCAGGGCAGCCGAGGGAGTTTCTGAACTTGGTTTAACAACGAATCGTTGCGTACGTCTCCCAGAATCGCGACCGAACTAACTTAAGATCATGGCAGAACTGCTGTATATCAGAAGCATTTTCATACTAGAAACAGAATCACTCTGCAATAGAAGAGGTGCCATGCGTTTACAAAGCAGAAACCACACAGTCTGTTGACAGCCGGAAAGCCTGTGCTATCACAGCCGCAGTCAGGGCAATAATAGTGAGCATCATCATTATAAAAAAGCCAATATCCGGAGCTTACCGTCGGCAGTTCCAGACTTTCACCGGAGTCCCGAGACGTCTCGACCAAAACCTTCCAGCAGGCTCCGAGTGCCCGAAAGCTCTGTCAGCACTGCGACAAATTTGAAGCGCACGCCCTATGCTGTAGTGTCTCCTGTGTAATGATTCGGTTGACCAGAGGATGTCGTAGAAACCGACCAGGAGATTTGGCCTGGCTTTCGCACTCTCGCTGCTCGCGGTTGGTTTTGCGCAAGAAGAGGTCGCTATGCAGTTCCATGATCTGCGGCTCAGGGGTATGGGTGACGCCAGCAGTCGGCAGCGAACACGAGTTTCTACTTCCTCCAAGCGCGACTGCAGGGTTTCGACTAGTATAGGTGCCTTAGTAATTAGCTGCTATACCATGTTGGGGGTTCTTAATTATAGATGTAGCATAATATGCCGTGAATATGATCGGCCAAGGGTCTCGGGTGGGCACTATTACCAGAGCCGCACCGATGCAACGGTGCTTTTTCCATCGCAACTTAAAGGATCATGGGAGTTAGTAGCTAGGGTTATAATTAGGGTAACTATACTTATAACCCCAATTAAAGTATTTACAACCTTACTTACTAAGTCCCATGATCCTCGAAGAATGTGCAGTAGCACAGCCTTGCTATCATATTGATCGATGCTATGGGCCTATGCGGGTTCAATAATTGTGAAAACTGACACCCTGAGCCCCCAAAGCGACCCTGCACGCCCAAGGCCCTGAACTCACTCTGGGCCTGCCTCATTGAGGCTCTCCAGGCACAGGAAAAAGCCTTTCAAAACAAAAGAAACTCACTCTGCCCTACAGAGGCGACCTTTCGACCTTGAATCCTGGTCTTGGGGATTTTTGAGAGGCTGCGCCCGCCGCCGCAGAGCCAGAGACCGTGACCCCGGCGCCTCCACCGCCACCTCCGCCGCCGCCTGCTCCGGTGCTCACCGGAGAGGCGGCGCTCTCAGGCGCCGAGGGTGAATGGGCGCTCATGTGGGAATTTCTGAAAATTAGGGGATACCTTATTTTGGGGTCCTTACATTGTAATAAGGATGCTACATAGATTAGGGTCCCCCATTTGCGGCATCACAATGGGGGGCTGAGGGTTTGGAGGCCTTACGTAAGATTGCGAACTTGCTAGTGAAGGTAATGAACGTAGGGGTATCATAGAGGGGGGTATGACGACATAGACTGCGAAAGACAGTTTTGCTTTTGGAAGCGTTAAAAATCCCAACAAATGCAAGTGTATCTTTCAGTAAAGCCATCACCACCAAGTTGACCTGAATATTTGCGTTTTCCGCATCGCTGCTATCATCTCTTGCCTAGTGCTCAGAAAGGATCAGAAAGAGAACTGTATGCACCACACATCGTTCAAACGTCTCCATGCGGTTGACATCTTCAATTCGCGAAAGAATCAAACACATGTTTCTTGAGGTTGCGCAAGAAGAAGAGATGCACAAACATCAAACACGACATGGGGAAAGCCGGAGCCAGATTGAGATTGTATTCAGGAGTGTTGACGTTGTCGCAGACTTTGCCGAATACTCTTGGCATGCTCTAAGTTTCCAGGTTGTAGTTCCGAGGGAACAGTAGCAAGAGGACCGTAATAACAAGCACATCTACCCCGAGCAACATGGTAGCCGCAGCAGTGGAAGCAGCCACAGTCACAGGAACGGGAGTGCGACGAGTGTGCACAGCCTAGCCATCGCGATTTTCGTGGTGACAGTGATCGTTGTGATGCAAAGGAAGCTCGCACTCTTGGAATGCGGGTCTCGGGACCTGCAATGCCAACTCCCACCTTCATCACCCTAAGCCGGGCACCCTTAAATCCCGCGAGTCGAAATCCCCATCTGATGGTGGAAATGTTCGCCTCATCAGGTTCCATTCTAATTAGGGCCCAAGTGAAGTTCTTGAGCCGAAGGTGACGAGCTGATCGCATTCCATCGCACCCCTGGCAAGCATTTTGGGCATTTTCGGTTTCGGCGGTTTCGTAGCCTTTTGGGCTTTCGTCATGGTCACTAATGTGACATCTTAGATTCTAGAAGCCTTCCGGCAATGCGTCTTTTTTTAGCGCGTGGCTGCGCGAAAGAGAGTCGTTGAAGAGGTTGCAAAGGATACGACATCCGGAGTTGCTGTGGCACCCTTCTCGGCCTAGCTCTAGTTGAGGAGCAGGAGGAGCAGGAGGAGGAGGAGGAGGAGGAGTAACAATAGTAGCTAGCGAGCTTGATGTCAGTAGGGAGGCCGAACCAGTACAAACGTACTCCCTATCGGAATCCAATGACCAATGGCCCTCCGCTGCCAAGGCAACCAGTTCTTGCAGTCAGTGTCATCGGCAGGCGGGCCGGAATCTCCAGAAATCATCAATCCCAAAGCTGGGATTTCCGGCTTTGATCATGTCCAAAAGGCAGCCTGACCAAAGTTTCGAGATCCCGTCCGTCGAGAGGGATGGAAGACAGCCGATAGCCGTTTGAGGCGATAGACCGTTTCGGGACTGCGCATCGGATTAACAGCTACGGTTCCCACCCGTCTCTGTCGTTGCTCATCCTAAGCTTTTCCCTGCTCTGATAGTACATCAGCTCCCGGGTCTATCTTGACATGTGGGCTTTCTCTGGAACGAAGGAACTCTTGCACATTGCCTGTCGCGCTAGGAGAGACTGGGATAATGGCATCTGAGGCGTTGCCTGATACCCGTGTCACAACTGCCAGCAATCAAGGGTTTCTCAGCTTTTTACCTGCGGGATCCAGGGAAAAAATGGGCACCGCTCCAGGTTCGGCAATGTTTGCCTGATACTCGGGCCGAAATAAGTACCATTATCCTCAACCAAACCCTAAAGAAAAAAGCCCGAAAGCAGGCCTGAGCGCGAAGAAGGGGGCCTGGCTCTATGGCGACTACCTCAATGAGCTCCCCGGGGTGCACGACCCGGTGACATGCGCACAGATTCTCGGCTTGCAGCATGATCTTGCCGACATGGCCAAGACTATCGACAACCCTCGGATTGATGATGGAGGGGAAGAGGAAGCGAAGGATGGGGGCAATGGATGGCAGAGTATGGTGTTGATGAAGGCCACGCCCCTGATGAACGATGAGATTCGTGGTGACCTTTGGTGTTGATAGGGATGAGGGACATGTTGCTGAGGATGAAGCCGGACGACGGTGATGATAGTGCTGCTGACTGGCTGGACCTGGTTGTGGCGAAGATGAGGGTTGAATTTAAGGGATAAAAAATTGAAGCACAGCAGAATTTGAGAATGTTTCGCCGAAGCGTAGGAACACTACTCTCGTACGACAGCAGAAACAGCACTAACGCCAATGATGTCGACAATGGCAGTTGTGTTTGCGGCGGCGCTGGAGCTGGCTGCGATATTAGCCATGGCAATCACGATTGCGGTTGGTGGGTCGTGCTCGGGTCCTGCTCCCAGTGCAGGACAAAGGTGATGGCGGTTGTGCCGATTGTCGTGCGGTACTGGTAACTGGTAGCATTGATGATCGCAAGCAATCGTTAACACAACAAGTTGGATTCCTACTATTCCAATTCAATTGGTATATGCAAGGCCACAGAATCGATGTGGGTTGTACAGTACTGTACTCGCTCTGAGGAGATGCGTCGCTGACCCCAAATGTGGCTTGGAAATTTATGGTTGTCTGAGAGGCCATAAGCCGAAGTTTGAACCATTACCGAGTGAGACCTTGTCAATTCCATTCTGAGCTTGTCTCCGTGTTCTCCGTCCGTTCTAAGCCAGTAGGGCCGCAGCCAGAGCTCCGAGATGATGTGATCATTCCCATGACGGGGGCCGTGGTTTTTCTGGCTTAAATATGCATCGTTCTTGGTTTTCTTTTCCATGGCCCAAAGGCACTTTGCACAGACTGTCTTAAGAACATCATGACTCGACATCATCATTCCTCCTGGTAGCTATCACATTACATCAGTGGACGTGCCAACATCTGCACAACCATGCTGTTTTAAGTTGACCACCGCTACATCGTTACCATCACCACTGCCAGTTCAGCACAGCACAAGCCTGACAAGCGAACATGTACCTTCGGGAGTCTGCTCGCAAGACGGGCCTGTCTCCAAAGAGTCCAGAGACCCTAAACCCGAAGCCGAACCCCTCAGCGAAATTCAGCGAAGTCCTTTCTGTGTCTCATAGACCATCAACGCGTCGAAAGGTTACCACTGGAATTTCCAAGTCGAGAAGAAGCGCTGTGACTTAAAAGCACCGCCGCTCCCTCCGCAATGTCGGTAGTCTGGAAGCTTAAAGAAGTACCGATATGATTCCTAGGGTTCCTTTATTCAATTTAGCTGCACTAGATTCTGCACCCAAACACGTCGAAAACCTATTCTCATTATTCAGACCCCTTTTTACATTACGCCGAGTGCAGGGTTCACTTTGCAAGATTCGAGAACGACTTCGCAGGGTTCAGTTCAAGAACTTGGTATTCACGAAAATTCGGAACATGCGAGGAGCCGCATTATTGACCACATTTGTTCTTGGAGTGCCAAGTCTCAGGCTTGTGAGCGTTTGGCTTTGAGGTCCAATTCAGGTATTCGAACACGTGCTTCTATGATTGTCGTCGAAGAACAATCCAAGACACCGGTCGCCTTGATCACAGCAACAGTTACAACTCAACCACAACAACTGCTGCTGCAACTACTGCTACTGCTACTACAGCTGCTGCTGCTGCAGCTGCTGCTGCTGGCTACCACTGCTGCCGCCACCCCACCGCCGCCGCACACCACCATCACCACCCCCGCCGCCACCCCCGCCGCCACCCCCGCCGCCACCGCCGCCGCCACCGCCACCACCGCCACCAGACTACCAGCAACAATAGCTGCTGCTGCTACGACTACCAGCTACTGCCACAACCCCAATGCGGGCACTAGCCCTGGCACTAGTGCGAGCACGTGAGCTGCCGATTCCCAGCTGATGCGGAGTAGAGCCTGGGTTCAAAAACTAGCGCTAGCACTAACGCTGCCACCACCACCACCTCTGCCGCTGCCACAGCCACTACCAGTACGACAACGATGACGACTGCTACTCCTACTACTCCCGCTGCGAGAGATGCTGCTGCGGCTGTGCGGCTGCTGCTGCTATGCCGGCACCGCTTTTCCTGCGATCAGCGCTGACAACTATCATTAGTGTGCCGCATGACGTCTCAATGGGTGGAGCACGGCAACGACCAATTCTTTATGTTCCCCGCAGAACGGCTCGGAATGCTTCTTGCTGTCTTCGTAGTATGCCAGCCGGCGCAACTTGTTCGATGGTTCCTTTGCCCTCGACTGAACGAAGAGTAGCATTGATTTATGGAGCAGCAGCCGGTTAGTTCGCTCAGATTCTCCGACAGGTACCCTGAAACCCCAGAAGCAGCTTTCGAAAGGAATGGTGGCACCAACGACGACATTGCCGACTGGATCACTGGCGACATGGGGCGCACGCCACCTGTGACGGATCTCTGAGCCCTAGGACCTAGGAGGAGCCAACAGCGGAGCTTGCGCAGTGTGTAAGACATGAGAGTAGACCGACTATATAACAAGACATGAAGTTATGCTTTGGTCAACTATAAAATACTCTAATGTGAGGTTCCTGTCGTGTTACATGCGGTGACATGTTCTAGTATAACTAATGTTAATGTACTGTTTTATATCATATCGTGAAATTTGCACTCGAACATCTGCTAGAACGGGCCATCAGCGCATCGGAGTCTTGGACGTAAGCTGCCGGTTCAAGCTCCGGCCCGATGTCGGGTCGAATTCGACGGCACGACATGCGGACGGCGACGCCGGGTAGCCCTGAGCTAGGGCAGCTAGGATTTGGGGTTTAGGGTTGAGGGTTTACGGTAAGCCATTACGAGCACAGTCCTAACTGGTTTACCGAATCAGCTTCGCAAGAAAGAAGCAGAACACGGGTGATTTGAGCAGATCCGGCGTCTGCTTGAGTTCAAATCACCGGCCTTTGCCAGAGGGGGTCGATCATACTGTAGAGGCCTTAATAACTAGAATAGGGTTCCTTTAAAGGGGATCCTTAAAGGGTTCTGTAAGGGATCTATAGTCTATAGTATGGTTCTATAATATAGGGACCTTAATAATCAGAATGGGGTTTGGGGGCCCATTATACTCTAAGAATATGGAGCCCGCAAAAGTATAGGTAATTATTTAGGCCCCTATGCATTTACATCTGAATGCATATGTGCGTTGCGCACGTAGATAAAACGTACATGCGCACACAGGCACACCTCTGTGCATGAATGCATGCATGCAAAGCACTCATTTACCTTCATTTGTCGTGCTGTTCGTGCATGCGCTCTGTCTCTCTCTGTGTCTCTGTCTCTCTCTCTCTCCCTCGCTCTCTTCGTGGCTGGATGTACACGCGGATACATATAATATACATAGATGCACCAACCCAGACTAGGGAATATGATTCGGAGATTCAGTGACCATGTGTTCTTGCATTGACCTCTTCGATCGATCCTCCAGTGCTCGGTGCGTGAAGCAAGGACAAAATCGCACCTCGCTAGCACGGCGGGCTGTACAAAAGGGCTGTGAGTCGAAGATTTGGTTCTGAGAGGCCTGGTTATTGTGCAGTTTACACGTCGCACATGTGCGCAGGTGGCATGATCGGTTATATGTCGTGTGAATGCCTGGTTGGTATCAACGAATACCGAAGCAGCTTGTGATAAATGACATGGGATGGGTTCGTAGTCATTGTCATGCTCATCGTCGCGTTGGCAAGGTTTTCTGTCGTCATGATGGTATTGAGGCTACACTACTTAATGCTAGACCGTGTAAACAGAGCTTCATCATATGCCAAGCTTGAAACGACTTTTTTCACCACGACCAGTGCCATTCAATGACGACGGTAATGCCACTGATGAGAAGGATGACCGGTGCACTACACGAATGGATTCGGTTATTCTCTTTGAGTTCATGCTTGAGTCGTATGGAATTTAGAAGAGTTTGGGCATACTTAAAGGATCATGGGACTTAGTAACAAAGGTCATAATTAGGGTAACTATATGTATAACCCCGTTTAAGGTACTTATAACCTTACTTACGAAGTCCCATGATCCTCCAAGTAGGGGGAAAAAGCGAAAGACTTAGGATCGGATCGTGTCGGCTTTTCCTCCCGACTACGCAGCTTTGAGTCCGCTTCTGTACTTGGGGTCACTAAACCCTCCTCGGAGACCCTATAAACGCGAAACACCCCGAAACCCTCCATGTAAAGTGCCTCCTTCCCAGCCTTCCCAGTCCTGTGACCGACGCCAACGCGACAAACGAGCATCTTGCGGTGAAGCTTCCCAAGACCCAAGCCCTGAATCACTGAACCCCATGAACTGCCTGGATTGTCCGAGTGTGAGCGCCGAAACCCCATGAACTTGAGAGGGAAGGGGTAGACACGACGCCCTAAATCCATGAGCCTAAGGTCTTGTCCTTCTGTTTTCCTGCAAAACCATGGGCTTTTCACGCCCTGGCCGTGGCAGCAGGCACAGGGAGAACGGCTTAGGTCCAGCCTCCAGTCGATTTTTTCACTTTGGCTTCGTTGGGAGGCCATCAGAGGTGGATGGAAGGACTTGCGCGTCATCACTTGCTCGATAGCTGGAAGGAAGTGCAGAGCCCATCCGCGCTGCTGCTCGAGGGTATTGCGCAGCCTGCGATGGTTTACCAGGAAAACCATATTACAGATCCCTATTACTGTAACTTGAGTTGGTAGTTTCAAGCGGTACGGATGCAGCCCTTATTTGCTTGTGTCGGGCGGTGCTAGGCGCTTGGCACATCATGACCGCACGTTTGCGACGCCATGCTGCCAAATTTCATGGCCGCTCAAGGAGACAGCGGCGGCTTGTGGTGCAGAAGTATCTCACAGCCCTCCGTAGCTTCGACAAAGCTGCTGCGCAGCAGCATGCTGCCCATGTGGCGGGGTGGCTGGCCTACGGCCCCAAAGAGTATTCTCCGAAAGAATCCGAACTGCGGCTGCTGAGCAAGTTTCTGGATAGGCTCGGGAAGGGCGTCCTTCCTTGTCGCTTGCAGCAAGCGCTGCCGGAGGTGCTGGTGAGGTTGCAGTCCTTGCGTGGACGCCCAGGGGCAGACCAAACCTGGGCGCAGGCTGCGGATGCTCTGAGGAAAAAGCTCAGGAAGTTCCACTGCTGCCGGCGGGAACCCAAAGATGGCCCGCGACCAGTCGCTGAAATCCAAGAAGCACCCAAAGAGCGTGCAGCTCGGGATGCTGACCGAGATAGCTCGAAGTTTGAAGGGGATTCGGAGCCTGCCACCAGAGGCGTACAGGCAACCGAGGCCCCCCCGCATCCAGAGTCCTGTGGCTTGCAGCGGCTTTTCCGGAAGAAGGCTGAGTGGGCGAACATGCAGCAATCGGAGCGTGCAGAGTGCTTGCTCCGGGCAGAGGCCGTGGGATTTTCCCAAGAAGGCATTGCTCAAGGAAGGCTGACCAAGATCTTGTACCAGGTGGCCGCAGCCTTGGCCCCTCCACGCAGGGCCACGCTGCCGTCGGAGATCCGAGATGGCGGGACAGAGCACGATCTGCAAGAGGGCGGCCTCGATAGTTCGGACTCTTCTGGGGGACTACAGCGACGCGCGCGCAAGTTGCTTCTTAAGGTCTTGCGCGCTTGGCGCACGAACCACTTCGACTGCGCTTCCATCCGCCACATCTTGCAGCACGTGGAGAGACAGATCCGATGCTTCGAGGAAAAGGCCAGCGAGCTCCGCTTAGCAGCATCTGCCACAGCCTGGCTGGCCATCCAGAGAGAAGTCGGGCGCTTGCTTGAGGGTGCTGATGTTCTCGACGGATTGCCAGTACGTCGCAGGCAACTGGCGCGCCCGGCGACCAATTGGGTTGCGAAGGGCACGCAAAAAACTGCTATGCTGACGGCGATGAAAGTGTGAATTTCCAGCTTGCGTAACTGTGCGCTTCGGTGTTCTGAACTCCTGTGAACCTGCTGCCGTTAGCGGATCCCTTGAGCTGAGAGTTTCTTTAGCAGTGAGCGCCTCCTGCGAAAACATGTGCCTGTGAGCTCTGCAGTCCGAGTGCCTTTGAGACTTCTGATCTTCACTGCCATAAGTTGGCAGCGGAGCTCTGATCCAGGGAAGCTCCTGCAGCCGCGGCGGTATGACTTCGAGCCCTTCGCTGGCGCCGCCACCACAGGCTAGCGATGTACCGGACCTTCTTGAGTTTCTCGGACCCCAGACCGAAGCGAGTCCGATCAGGATGGTCCCTGGAACCGCTAACGAAGAGCCACCTGAAGCATGGCCTGAGGAGTATCGTCGACCTTCTGCTCCTGAGGGCCTACCAGAGAGAGCTCTTCGTGGTCAGGACCGTTTTGGGGCCTGGCTTCCTCAACTTCCGACCTTCCCGGGCTTCGGCTTTTCCGGCTTTTCCGAGGGCGAGGTACACGCAACCTTTGCAGAGGCGTTTGGCAGAGAAAGGCGACCGAGAACCGTTGCAGCTTCGACCTGGGTGTGCCGAGTTTGCCGGAGCAATGACTGCAGGTGGGACCGAATGCAGGATTCCTGGTTCTGCGCTGCGTGTGGCTCTAATGAACTCTATGATGCGAGCCAGCCGGCTGTTGAGGAGACGGCCGCTGGGGTGTGGACTTACGTGCCCCATGAGATGGCTTCATCGGCGGCCAGTTCGCCAAGGTCTTCGGCTGCTTCCTCCTCGACTACTACCTGGACGCGACCGGGAGCAGGACCCAGACTACGACTTGGCCACCGAGGTGATCCTCCAGATGGCGGCTGGGACGGCGGAGAAAGAGCAGAAAGCGAGGACCTTACAATGGACCCTGTGGTGACACCGAGCTCAGCCAGTGAAGCAGGCCATGGTGATACAAGGGCAGCCCGGCCCAGCAGGAGACAGCGACGAGCCCAACGAGCCAGAGACGAGGGCGAGACAGTGATTTCGCCTGCCGGCAGCCCGCCGGCACAAGGAGATCTCGTGAAGGATCTTCGCAAGCTGCTGCAGAAGCGTGGGCCTGCCAGTGATTCCTCTTGGCATTCGGCCCAAGGCCCCCAGAAGGGCATGAGATGGCGGGGCGGCACACCGCCAACGCCACCAAAGTGGCATTACTCCAAGGACGACCTGCGTGCCTTTAGCAAGTTCGAGCGGCGTGTTGCAATTTGGGAGCTGCAGGTCCAAACTTACATGTCACCAGCCGAAGCAGCGCTTGCCTTGTACTGTTCCTTGGGAGGCGAAGCAGAAGAAGAGCTGGAGCACATTGATATCAAGCGGCTCTACCACAAGGACGGCATTGCCTTTCTCATGGAACAGCTTCGCGGGCCCCTTCAGTCTAAGCAGGTGTATCTTAAGCGCAAGTACCTAGCTGACTACGAGACCATTGCTCGAGCACAGGGTGAAGGAATGCGTCAATATGTCAACAGGTACCATAGGGTCGAAAAGGCATTGATGAGCATCGGCATCGACGTGAGTCTGACCTACGATAGCGAGAGCAGAGGAAGCCGGCTGCTTGACAGAGCAAAACTTACCACTGAGCAGCAACGCCTGGTGCTCGTGGGAACCGCACAGTCGCTTGTGTTCGACGACGTGAAGAACGCTTTGGTTCTCCAGTACCCCGACCACAAGCCAGCTCCTTTCCTTCCGAATTCCGGCAACAGGGAACAGCAGCCAGGCAGCGGCCAGAGGTACCCACAGAACTTCCCCAAAGGCGGCAAGAACCACGGCGGCAAGGGATACCCAAAAGGCCAAGGACCGTCTGCTCCTTCTTCTAGCAACAGTGGCAGCGCCTACCGGCGAACCTATGTTGCCGAGAACCTTGACGAAGGCGCTGCAGAGGACGGCCAGGAGTACCATGTGGCACTTCAGGCCATCCAAGAGGACGACGCTGAGGGCGAGCAGGACGAGGGAGAACAGGACGACGATGACGAGGAGTTGATCCCAGACGATGCTGGCGACAAGGACGGCGAGAAGGAGTCCATTGAGTCTCTCATGGAGGTGCTCACCGTCACCAGTCGCAAGCTACAGGCCATGACACAGGGCCGGAAGTATCGGGGAGCCCCTCGAAAAACGATCGAAGAGCGCAAAAGGAACTCTTCTTGCAGCGCCTGTGGCGCTACCGGCCATTGGGCCGGTGATAGCGAGTGCCCTGTGAGCGGCAAGGGCAAGTCCAACGGCGGCAAAGGCAAGGGGCAAAGCTCCACAGAGAATGCTGATCGGAAGGGCGGTCCGCAAAAGGTGTTCACAGTGCGACATGCTGGGGGCCATGAGACCTTGTATGAGTTCGGTGCGTTGCCTCCGAGTGACCTGGCAGGCCACACACAGATCCACGGCCCGGCCCACAGCACGCTAGCAGTCTTCCAAGCAGAGTACATGTGCATGACCAATGTTACAGAGCTTCAAGGGTACTGCGTTGTGGACACAGGATGCCAGCGTTCAGTGTGCAGCAAGCAGTGGTGTGAAAGCCACAGAGAGTTGATCAAGAGCTTTGGTGTGCACATGCTGTCCACACATCGCAATGAGGCCTTCCAGTTTGGAGCTGGACCGCCGCAAAGGTCGGATACTTGTGCATATTTCCCCGTGTCTTTCGACGTGAGCTATCCCATGATTGCCTTGAGTGCCTCGATCCTGGACGGTGTTTCCATATCATTCTTGGTGAGCTTAAGATTGCTTAAGGCATTGGGTGTAGTTCTCGACTTGGCAAATCAGAAGGCCTATGTTGGGATCCTCGGCTGCGAAGTCGACTTGCACCTCATACAAGGCCACTTGTGCATGAAGATTGCTGAGTACCCTGCGAGTGTCATGCAATTTTCTTGGGATGCGCTGGATCACCATGACTGCGAGTTCCTGTGTGACAGCAAGCTGTTGAACGAAACAACAAACCATAGAAGCTTTGCCACTCAAAGTGCTGAACCGCGAGTGTGTGATAGTGATGTTCTCGGCGCCCCCGTCATGGCTTGTGAAATGGAGGCGCCTCATTCTACGAACGCGCCAGTTGCTGATTCGCGCGGTGGTGTTGGCACACCGTGCTTCTCGCATTGGCCTGGAGGGTTCCGTGGTGCGCACAATCCAGGACACCAAGCCCAAGGCCAAGAGCAAGAGCAAGCCAAAGCCCGTGATGACCACACCGCCGCAGCACTGCGACCACAAGGACATCAAGCGCCACGGCAACGCCACAGGGAGGTACGCAACATGCAACAAGTGCCAGTGCCGCTGGAAGTGGGTCGAGGACGAAGGAACCCATGGCTGGCGCTATCATCCATCTTCCAAATCCTGTGCGCTTCCTTTGCCTTCAGCCCAAACGGTGTTGGATGCGTCGTGGACCCCAGCGGCATCATCCACGGACCCACCGGGAACTTTGCCGAAGATGCGACCACGGCCGACTTCAGCAATTATGCCAGCCGGGTACCATGGGACTGCGGACAGCGACCCGATGGAGGACGAGTTCGAGAGCAGCGAGGACAACCTGGATTGGTCACTGGTTCTGGACCAGTAGAGGCCCAAGGGCATGGCATGCTGAAGAAGGGCGTGGCAAAGCGGATGGCTAATAATCTGGCGAAGTCGGTGAGCCTTCTGGAGAACGAGGTTGCCATCTACAACGACATAGGCGGCGACAAATACCAGAGGACCGGCGCCGACTTGCTGGAAGCCTTTTGGGAGCCACGGTTTGGACAGGATAATTTCTCCTATGACCTGGCGAGCCGTGCCGAGGACTACGACCTCTCCTTTGTGAACGTCGTACCAAAGGTCTTCGACATGGAGCCCGAGCGGCTCTACCAGGCGTGTGCCGAGATTAAGCCCTATGCGCTTGTGGCACATAACCTGCAGAGACAAGGTGCAATCACAAAACAAGTTGTTCGGAAGTGCTGTGACCTCCAATCCGATGGCAACCGGCTTTTCATCCTCGCCTTCAGCGTGGACGTGCATGAGGACCCCACGGGTGCGATCGAGAACATTATGAACTTGCCTGGGGTGGGCAAGGCGATCTTTAAGAACAGCGGCAATGGCACCGATCTGGGCTTTGTGACCAACTGCCGCAACCTGCTGCAAGCTGCGAGGAAGCAACCTTACATCGATGATGTGAGCGCCATCCTCCTTGAAGCCATTCGCGCTGAAGCCTGGCAGCGCTGTCCCTGGAAGTTCGATCCCAAGGTCCACGATACGTGGTACGCTGCTCCTCTTGATGAACCTGAGAAGTGGATGGAGCTTCTTGAAGCAGCAGCCAAACAGCTTGGGAAGAGCAGGTACTACTACTTGCCGGAAAAGTCCAGGGAGATGGTTATACTGAAGGAGCTTGTGCCGTGGGAAATTACACGTGCTCAGGTGTGCGCCAGCCCAATGACGAGGCGTATGCCAACGGATGTTCCATACACCCATCGCGGCGCAGCTCTTCTTCTGAACAACGGCAAGCTCCAGATTGAGAGCGAGGACCTCAACGAGATCAGGCAGCCCAAGCTCAAGTTCGAGACGCCCGTGAGGACCGCGATTTTCTTCTATGGCATGGCAGACGACGACACCGAAGCCAAGGCGACATCCTCACAGGACCCTGCATTGCATGTGCCGGGACTTCGCAGTGACGTCAGTTTTCCTGGAGTGCCCGAAACCATTCCCAAAGAAGTTCGCGCCTCTGTGGCCCGATTGCATTGCAATGCAGGTCACCCTTCAAAGCAGGAGACCATAAGACTTCTTGCTGCGCACGGCTCGATAAACACTGCTGTGCTCACTGCTTTGGAGCACATGAGATGTGGTACTTGTGAACGAGCCAAGGGTCCCCTCAAGCCACGTCCAGCTTCAGTTCCTGAGTTTGTGGGTCAGTTTGCCGAGCAGATCCAGGCTGACATCTTTTACGTCAGAGACCTCTCGTCTGTAAACCATGCACTGCTAGGCGTGACCTGTCTGGCGACCAAGTTCTACCAGGCCTCGATTCTGCCGTCGCGCGACCCTCAGGTTGTGCTCAACGAGATGGACCGGCTGTGGCTGAGACCCTTTGGCTACCCCTTGTTCATGAGTGTTGATGCTGACGGTGCTTTCGAGGGTGTGTTTTTACAGCACTTTCAAGAAAGTGGTGTCGTCGTGACGGTCGTGCCAGCTGACGGGCATCATCAGATTGGCGCCATAGAGCGCAAGAATGCTGTGTTCCGGACCGTGGTGGAAAAGCTCATTGACCAAAACGCTGTGACGAACAAGGAGCAGCTCGACATGTGTCTTAGTGCTGCAATATGGTCGGTGAACACGAGCATCCACACACGAGGTAGAAGCAGCATGCAGGCCGTGTTTGGTAAACTTCCTCGGTTTCCTGGCGACCTCTTCTCAGATAGTGCTGCCTTAGCAACATCCGACTACCACATGCTTACCGAGCAGCTTCGCACACAAGCATGCCAAGCCGTCCAAGAAATGTCTGCCTCTTCTGTGATACGCAGGGCGCTTCTGAGAAAGACGGCCACCTCTCGCCAAAGGGTCAATGAGCTGCTTCCTGGATCCTTGGTGGCGTATTGGAGGTGGAACCTTAAGGCTCGGGGGCGAAAAAGAGGCGGGTACATCCTGGGGCGTCTCGTCGTCAAGGATGACAAGAACGCATGGGTTCAAAGCGGTGGCTCACTCGTGCAGGTGACGCATGAGCAGCTGCGACCCGCCATTGGCATTGAAGCCTGGACTCCAAGCGCTGAGGACATCAAGATGATCAAGCTGGGCGGCAAACTGCTGCAACAAGGCTTTTGGGACGATGGCCGTGAACCTGGGCCACCTTCTAACGAGCCTCTTGAACCAGTGATGCATGATCCGCTTGAGACCGGGACTGGAAGTGAACTACGTGATCTCGGGCCTCCTCTTGAAGACGGGGCTGGAGAACAACGTTACGAACTACCAGCACCAGGCCGTGACGCTCCTTTACCTGTTTCTGAACTTCCGCAACAACCTCTTCGAGAAGGACCTCAACTTCCTGCAGAGGCAGTTCAACAAGCTGGGGCTCAACTGGATGGGCCGGCTCAGAACATCCAGGTGTTCTCACCGCAGTATCAGCAGAACATCTGGCAGTACGGAGAGGGACCTGAAGCACGACCGGGGCGAGAACGCTCGAGATCTCGACGGCCAGCTTCACCCGCTCCTGCGACACCTCAGCTACTTCCTCCGACGCCAAGTCAACCTTCAACGCCGCGGCCTCCGCCTACACCTCGGAGGAGAGCTGCAGTACGCGCTGAACAACTGTTGGGACAAGGGTCTGCCTCCTCGAAGAAGAGGAGAACAAGCTCTGCACCGCCTACGCCGCCGGCTCCGGAACCTTCTCGACTACCACCTGTGCCTTCTCCACTGCCGGCAACCCCTGTTCCCTCAGAGTTTCCGTTTTCACCTGAAGTTCCTTTTTCAGCCGAACCTTTTGGATCCGCAGAGTACATGGACGCTCCTCAAGACGACGAGCAGCAAGCTACTCCGACAGCACAAGCCGAAGCACCGGCTCCTTCAGCATCTCCAGACGCATCGAGCAACATGCAAGCAATGGCTGATGACAGCGCAGCTCCACAGCTTCCAGCGAGACGAGCACACTCTGCACTACAAGCGAAGAAAAAGAAGCGACAGCCTCACAACAAAGAGATGCACTCCATCCTGCTGACTCACTTTGTGTTGGACACCCTCACGGAGATCTACCAGCCAGGAGATGGATGGGACGGGTCACCTGACTACAGGCTCCATTCGCCGTGCACTGCCTTTCGCTGCTGTGCTGCAGCCCTTGAGGCAGAAGAGGTATCTTCAGATTCATCTGAGGATGGAGACCAACGGGTCAGTAACGACCTGACGCGCCAGGAGCGCAAAGCCATCGACCGTGAAATTCCATGGCGGCAGATTATGAGTGACTACCCGTCAGACGTGATCAGCTTATATGTGCAGGCTAACAAGAAAGAGTACGACTCTTGGGTCAGCTGGCAATCCATCAAGCCTCTCTCCAAGGCCGAGGCTGACAGGATTAAGAATGATCCTCGCCTTCGCAAGAGGATCATGCCCTCTCGCAACGCTTACCGAGATAAGCTTCGAGGAGCTGGACCCGTCGTGAAAGCCAAATGTCGCACAGTGATCCAAGGATGCCACGATCCTGATCTTGGACTGTTGGACCGATCTTCTCCGACACCAACGAGAGTGGCAGAACTCCTGATCTACGAGATAGCGTGCTCTGGCTATAACCGAAGACTCTTCAAGAACAAGAAAGCCTGGAAACTTTGGAGCGGCGACGTTGCAACTGCTTTTCTCCAAGGGCAACCACAACCAAGAGATCTGCCAATCTACATGAGGCCACCACGTGATGGCATACAGTCTTTGGCAGGCACCTTTCCGTGCGAGCTGTACGAAATCATCGGGAACCTTTATGGTTTGTGTAACGCTCCCAGAACTTGGATCAACCACATCGTGAAGCAGTTGCGTGGCAAAGGCTTTCGTCGCCACCGGCTAGACCACACAGTCTACTACAAGCTCGACAGCAACAAGGAATTGATGATCGTTTTGCTCTTCCACGTGGACGACTTCTTGGTAGCCTACCGCGAGGACTACAACTTCGACGAGTTGCTCACCCTGTTCACCTGGGGACAAAAGAACCTCCTCGACGACGGTGACTTCGTCTTTAAGGGCAAGGAAGTGAGCCTCAGAAAGGTTAACGGAGAGTTTCAGATCCACGTGACGCAGAAGGCCTTCATCAATGAGCTTGAGACCGGGCGCCTCAAACGCGGAAGGTCTGCTGAGACCACCCCGCTTACGAGCGAAGAGATGCGAGAGTACAGAAGCTGCGCAGGGAGTCTTCAATGGCTCGCAGGAAGCACCCGACCTGACATTGCTGCCACCGTGAGCTTAAGCAACCACGGTCAGGAGAACGGGCCAGCCCAACTCAAGCAGCTGTACGATTGCATCGACTACCTCAAGAAGTGCCCGGAAGACGGTCTTGTCTTTCAAGGTGTGGCGATCAACTTTGCCACAGTGATCGTGGGCTACTCTGACTCGTCATGGGCAAACGCACCTGGCGGCAAAAGTCAGATGGGCGTGATTGTGGTTCTCACTGGACCAGAGTGCCAAGAGCAAACGTCGAGAGCTACACTTCTTGACTGGCGAAGTTCTCGAAGCCCTCGCGTGACACGGTCAACCCTGGCATCAGAAGCAAACGCAATGGATGATGGAGTGGACAGGGCTACGTTCTTGAACACGTTCCTCTCCGAGTTCTTCTCAAAGGACGACTCAAGGGCCACAGCGGGACTCCTCAACCAGCTCCTGGTGACAAAGGACGACGCCAAGCTCACTGCAGGTCTTCTGAAGCAGCTTCAAGTTACAGACTGTAAGTCTCTTTACGATGCTGTGATCGCTGAAAATCCTTCTCTCGAAGAGAAACGGACAATGATCTCGGTCAGGTCCATACAGGACTACATCGGGTCAGACCAGATACACTGGGTGCCCACAGACCTGATGTATGCAGATGTCTTGACCAAGCATTCAGCCGTGCTTCGTGAAAGCTTCAGACGCTGGATGAAGAGTCCGTGCGTTAAGCTCAAGGAGGATGAACACCGAAAAGAAAACTTTACGAGTGTGAATTTCCAGCTTGCGTAACTGTGCGCTTCGGTGTTCTGAACTCCTGTGAACCTGCTGCCGTTAGCGGATCCCTTGAGCTGAGAGTTTCTTTAGCAGTGAGCGCCTCCTGCGAAAACATGTGCCTGTGAGCTCTGCAGTCCGAGTGCCTTTGAGACTTCTGATCTTCACTGCCATAAGAGAAAGAACTCGGTTGTAGGGCAACATACCAACAGCTGCTGGGATATGTGCGACAAAACCTAAATTTGTTTGGAGAGACAGATCCAAGCACCGTCGAGCGCAGCTTGAGAAGCTTTCGCGCATCAGAATACTTCGAATTCCTTGGCAAGGAAAATGGCGAAGATGTTTTCGGCTTGGCCGAGCCCTGCCCCAGAGGCATCCGACGCCAGAAGCGTGGTTTCACGGCCCGGCTGCACATCCGAAGCAATGCCTGCTGCTGCATAGGTCCTCTAAGGTCCAGCGTCGAGGAGGCAACTGCGGACTACCGTCAGTTGCAGGAGTGGCGATCGGACAAGTCTCCCGAAGCTCTTTTTCAGTGCATTCGCAGCTGGCATGGTGCACATATTGTCAGTTCAAAGCGCAATCCACCCGTTCGTGTCTAGAAAAGGCTGGACGGGGCCACGCTCACTGAGTAAGCGGGCCACGCTCACTGAGTAAGCATCGTGCTCGTGTGCGTGTTGTTTTGCGCTTGCTTGGGTTGGGGTTGTGGGTTTGGGTTGGTTATGGTTGCGGTGGTGTTTGTTGTTGAGGGGTTGTGGTTGTCGTAGTTGTTGTTGTGGTTGCTGTGGCTTGTTGCTTGTTCTTTGTCGTTGGGAGGCCATCAGAGGTGCATGGAAGGACTTGTGCCTCATCACTTGCTCGATAGCTGGAAGGAAGTGCAGAGCCCATCCGGGCTGCTGCTCGAGGGTATTGCGCAGCCTGCGATGGTTTACCATCAGAAAGAAAACATATTATAGATCCCTATGATGGTAACTTGGGTTAGTAGTTTCAAGCGGTACGGATGCAGCCCTTATTTGCTTGTGTCGGGCGGTGCTAGGCGGTTGGCACATCATGACCGCACGTTTGCGCCGCCATGCTGCCAAATTTCATGGCCGCTCGAGGAGGCAGCGGCAGCATGTGGTGCAGAAGTATCTCACAGCCCTCCGTAGCTTCGACAAAGTTGCTGTGCAGCAGCATGCTGCCCATGTGGCGGGGTGGCTGGCCTACGGCCCCAAAGAGTATTCTCCGAAAGAATCCGAACTGCGGCTGCTGAGCAAGTTTCTGGCCAGGCTCGGGAAGGGCGTCCTTCCTTGTCGCTTGCAGGAAGCGCTGCCGGAGGTGCTGGTGAGGTTGCAGTCCTTGCCTGGAGGCCCAGGGGCAGACCAAACCTGGGCGCAGGCTGCGGATGCTCTGAGGAAAAAGCTCAGGAAGTTCCACTGCTGCCGGCGGGAACCCGAAGATGGCCCGCGACCAGTCGCTGAAATCCAAGAAGCACCCAAAGAGCGTGCAGCTCGGGATGCTGACCGAGATAGCTCGAAGTTTGAAGGGGATTCGGAGCCTGCCGCCAGAGGCGTACAAGCAACCGAGGCCCCCCCGCATCCAGAGTCCTGTGGCTTGCAGCGGCTTTTCCGGAAGAAGGCTGAGTGGGCGAACATGCAGCAGTCGGAGCGAGCAGAGTGCTTGCTCCGGGCAGAGGCCGTGGGATTTTCCCAAGAAGGCATTGCTCAAGGAAGGCTGAGCAAGATCTTGTACCAGGTGGCCGCAGCCTTGGCCCCTCCACGCAGGGCCACACTGCCGTCGGAGATCCGAGATGGCGGGACAGAGCACGATCTGCAAGAGGGCGGCCTCGATAGTTCGGACTCTTCTGGGGGACTGCAGCGCCGCGCGCGCAAGTTGCTTCTTAAGTTCTTGCGCGCTTGGCGCACGAACCACTTCGACTGCGCTTCCATCCGCCACATCTTGGAGCACGTGGAGAGACAGATCCGATGCTTCGAGGAGAGGGCCAGCGAGCTCCGCTTGGCAGCATCTGCCACAGCCTGGCTGGCCATCCAGAGAGAAGTCGGGCGCTTGCTAGAGGGTGCTGATGCGCTCGATGGATTGCCAGCGCGTCGCCACCTGCCCAGTGCGCTTGCATTTGGTGTGAGAAAGACTGCTTTGCGGACAGCCATGAAGGCACTCGGTGGGAGGGCAACATGCCAGCAGCTGCTGGGATATGTACGGCAAAATCCACATGTTTTTGGAAATGCAGATCAAGGTGCCATCGAGCGCAGCCTGAGAAGCTTTCGTGCGTCAGCATACTTCGAATTCCTTGGCAAGGAGAATGGCGAAGATGTTTTCGGCTTGGCCGACTCCTGCCCCAGAGGCATCCGGCGCCACAAGCATGGCTTCGCAGCGATGCTACAAATCCGAAGCAGTGCCTGCAGCTGCGTAGGTCCTTTGAGGTCGAGTGCCGAGGAGGCGAGTAGCGACTACCGTCAGTTGCAGGAGTGGCGATCTGAGATGTCACCAGAAGCTCTTTTTCAACGAATTCGCAATTGGCATGGTGCACATATTGTCAGTTCAAAGCGCAATCCACCCGTTCGTTTCTAGAAAAGGCTGGAAGGGGCCACGCTCACTGAGTAAGCATCGTGCTCTTTTGCGTGTTGTTTTGTGCTTGCTTGGGTTGGGGTTGTGGGTTTGTGGGTTGCAGTGGTGTTTGTTGTTGAGGGCTTGGGGTTGTCGTAGTTGTTGTTGTGGTTGCTGTGGCTTGTTGCTTGTTGCTTATTGTTTGTCGTTGGCGGTTGGTGTTTGCTGTCTTTTGTTTGAAGTTTGTTTGTTGGTTTGACTGTCTGTCTGGTTGGGTTGGGTTGGGTTGGGTTGGGTTGGGTTGGGTTGGTTGGTTGGTTGGTTGGTTGGTTGGTTGTTGTGGCTGTGGCTGTGGCTGTGGCTGTGGCTGTGGCTGTGGCTGTGGCTGTGGCTGTGGCTGCTTGCTGCTTGCTGCTTGCTGCTTGCTGCTTGCTGCTTGCTGCTTGCTGCTTGCTGCTTGCTGCTTGCTGCTTGCTGCTTGCTGCTTGCTGCTTACTGCTTGCTGCTTGCTGCTGCTGTTGCTGCTGCTGCTGCTGTTGCTGTTGCTGTTGCTGTTGGTGTTGTTGTTGTTGTTGTCGTTGTTGTTGTTGGCGTTGGCTCTGGGTTCTTGGTTCTCGGTTCTTGGTGCTGGGTTCGCATTTCGCGGTTCTCAGATCACAGTTCTTGGTTCTCGGTTCGCGCTGCTCGGTGCTGGGTTCTTGGGTTTTTTGTCTTGGTCGTCGTTCTTTGTTCTTGGTTGTTTTTTGTAGTTTTCCGTTTGCATCTGTTTGTTGGTTTTTGGTTGTTCGTTCTTTGTGATTTGTTGTTAGTTTCTCTTTTGTTGGCTGTGGTTTGTTGATTTGTTGCCTGCTTCTTGCTTGCTGTTAGCTGTGGCTTGTGGGTTGCTGGTTATTGCTAATAGTGTAGTTTTAGCGTAGTTGTAGCAGTAGCACTAGCAGGAGCCGGAGAAGGAGCAGGAGCGGGAGCAGTGGTAGGAGTAGAAGAAGTAGCAGTTAGTAGTAGTTGTAGTTGTAGTAGTCGTCGTAGTAGTAGTAGTAGTAGAAGAAGAAGTAGTAGTCGTAGCAGCAGCAGCAGCAGTAGTAGTAGGAGTGGGAGTAGGAGTCGGAGTCGGAGCGGCAACAGCAGCAGTAGCAGTAGCAGTGGCAGTGGCAGCGGCAGTAGCAACAGCAATAGCAGTAGCAGTTCAGTATCAGTAGTAGTAGTAGTAGTAGTAGTAGTAGTAGTAGTAGTAGTAGTAGTAGTAGTAGTAGTAGTAGTAGTAGTAGTAGTAGTAGTAGTAGTCAGTCGTCGTAGTAGCAGTAGAAGAAGTAGCAGTAGCAGTAGTAGCAGTCGTGCAGGAGCAGGAGCAGGAGTCGTCGTAGTAGTAGTAGTAGTAGTAGGAGGAGGAGGAGGAGGAGGAGGAGGAGACGAAGAAAGCTTCTAGTCATTCGTCACGGTTTGGTTGAGCACCTCTGTGCATCAAAGACCTCTCATAGAAAGCATCACTTAGGTGATCCGCATAGAGAAAACACGCACAGGCGTTCTGCCAGACGAGGAAAGTCCGGATGTGAAAAACAGGAGCTTCCACCCATATGGAGAAATCACATAGGTGAGCTGCATAAAGAAGATCCCAAATAGCCAAATAAATAGCCCGATAAAACACCCTTCAGACGAAGAAAGCTTCATCGTTAGGCCTTTGGAGTCTACGGATGAGTTTGGCTGTTCTTGAGTTCTCTGGCAGGCTGGCCTCGAGGGCAGATAACGAAATAAGGTGCAGAGCAGCCGCACGAAAGGATGCAAGCACCAGCACCTCACCAGAATAAGCATTGCCTCGTGCACGGCTAGCATGACCGCACGTTTGCGTCGCCATGCTGCCAAATTTCATGGCCGCTCGAGGAGGCAGCGGCAGCATGTGGTACAGAAATATCTCACAGCCCTCCGTAGCTTCGACAAAGTTGCTGTGCAGCAGCATGCTGCCCATGTGGCGGGGTGGCTGGCCTACGGCCCCAAAGAGTATTCTCCGAAAGAATCCGAACTGCGGCTGCTGAGCAAGTTTCTGGACAGGCTCGGGAAGGGCGTCCTTCCTTGTCGCTTGCAGGAAGCGCTGCCGGAGGTGCTGGTGAGGTTGCAGTCCTTGCCTGGAGGCCCAGGGGCAGACCAAACCTGGGCGAAGGCTGCGGATGCTCTGAGGAGAAAGCTCAGGAAGTTGCACTGCTGCCGGCGGGAACGCCGGCGGGAACCCAAAGATGGCCCGCGACCAGTCGCTGAAATCCAAGAAGCACCCAAAGAGCGTGCAGCTCGGGATGCTGACCGAGATAGCTCGAAGTTTGAAGGGGATTCGGAGCCTGCCACCAGAGGCGTACAGGCAACCGAGGCCCCCCCGCATCCAGAGTCCTGTGGCTTGCAGCGGCTTTTCCGGAAGAAGGCTGAGTGGGCGAACATGCAGCAATCGGAGCGGGCAGAGTGCTTGCTCCGGGCAGAGGCCGTGGGATTCTCCCAAGAAGGCATTGCTCAAGGAAGGCTGAGCAAGATCTTGTACCAGGTGGCCGCAGCCTTGGCCCCTCCACGCAGGGCCACACTGCCGTCGGAGATCCGAGATGGCGGGACAGAGCACGATCTGCAAGAGGGCGGCCTCGATAGTTCGGACTCTTCTGGGGGACTGCAGCGCCGCGCGCGCAAGTTGCTTCTTAAGGTCTTGCATGCTTGGCGCACGAACCACTTCGACTGCGCTTCCATCCGCCACATCTTGCAGCACGTGGAGAGACAGATCCGATGCTTCGAGGAAAAGGCCAGCGAGCTTCGCTTGGCAGCATCTGCCACAGCCTGGCTTGCCATCCAGAGAGAAGTCGGGCGCTTGCTTGAGGGTGCTGATGTGCTCGACGGATTGCCAGTACGTCGCAGGCAACTTTCGCGCCCGGCGACCAATTGGGTTGCGAAGGGCGCGAAAAAAACTGCCATGCTGACGGCGATGGAAGAACTCGGCGGTAGGGCAACATACCAGCAGCTGTTGGGATATGTGCGACAACACCTACGTTTGTTTGGAGAGACAGATCCAAGCACCGTCGAGCGCAGCTTGAGAAGCTTTCGTGCATCAGCATGCTTCGAGTTGCGTGGCGAGGAAAATGGCGAAGATGTTTTCGGCTTGGCCGAGCCCTGCCCCAGAGGCATCCGACGCCAGAAGCGTGGTTTCACGGCCCGGCTGCACATCCGAAGCAATGCCTGTTGCTGCATTGGTCCTCTAAGGTCCAGCGTCAAGGAGGCGACTGCGGACTACCGTCAATTGCAGGAGTGGCGATCGGACAAGTCTCCCGAAGCTCTTTTTCAGTGCATTCGCAGCTGGCATGGTGCGCACGTTGTCAGCTCCAAGCACAAGCCTCGCGTTCGTGTCAAATCGAACGAAAAGGCCCGGAGGTCCACGCCCGATGAGATTGCATCGTGTTGGAGTTGTTGCAGTTCCTGTTGTTCTGGCTGTTGTTCCAAACGGCAACAGTTACAGCCAGGGTGGGGAGATGCAGCGGAACAGTGCAGACCTGTTTGAGTAGCCTCATGTTTCATGCTTCATGCACTATAGATCGCTATCTGCATCATCCCCAGCCCAGGCGCCCTAAACCCCACACGCTGGCGAGCAAGATCATGAAGCCGTGCCTGCCTCTCTCTGTGTGTGTGTGTGTGTGTGTGCGTGCAAGTCGAAACCCAACACAAAACCCCGTAACCTTAACCTTAAAACTTAAAATCGAAGAACAGATCGTCTTTAGCACCGGGCTAAATACCACTCTACGGCAGAGTATGTAATGTGTGGGGTTTAGAGTGTAGGGCCTGTGTAGTGTTGGTAACCATGAGCAATCACAGTGTCAACAGCAACGCCGCCAAAATGTGTTGCTCCCCGTGCCCGTCCTGGAAAGTCCATCAGCCGGTGCCTATACAAACCAGTGTTGATGATAAGAAGCTGCCGCAACAAAACGAATGACGATAGTAGTAAACGTTAGGGTAACGAGGTGGATTCTGATGATCGTGCGAGTGTGAGGGTGGAAAATGATAAGGAGAAGCCCCTGCAAGTTGCAATGATTGCATCTGGCCGCAGGCTTGGGTTTCATGCGGCCGTGCGTGACCCTGCATTCCCAGGCACGACATAGTTAGTAGCGGCAGCAGTAGCTGTTCCAGAATCTCGTCGCATGCACGACTAGCTGTTTGGGAAGGTCCAGGTTGCAGGCTTTCATGCTTGTATCAAGAGGCCATGCGCTCAAAGCCTTGAAGCCGGGTCGTCATCGTCGTTATGGAAATGTCAGTGGTGCAACAACGGCGGCTACAGCCGCTGCAGCACCAGCTGCTCTTCCTAACGGGTTCTCTTTACGACGACGAGGAACATCACATTGCTGGCTAAAGTGCGTATCCTCGTCGTGCACTGTACTCTTGCTGTTGAGAAACCCTAAACCCTAAACCCTCAACTTGAAACCGGGCTTTGATTGACACAGCGGGAAGCTCAGTAATTAGCTGCGACACAGACAAACCGTGGATGCCGCTGTTGTGCACAACCAACTGTTCAACTGAGACACCCTGCAATGCGGGCTTCGTCCTTGCTAGGTAGGCGGGAGAAAACCTTCACCCTAAACCCTAAACCCACACCCCAAGCTTTCGATATCAACCCTGCAGCTCGTGCAGAACTTCCAGGCAGTCTGTAAGGGGGACATGAGGGCCCTCACGCAGCTCTCGCAACAGTGCGGCGCTGGGATCCCAGAGCAAAGCTTGGGAGTAATATAGCCGCCGAGCTGCTTGCTCAAACCATAGTAGAGTTCCCCGCCAAGCCCTATTCTAAGCATTCAGACTCCTTTTTTAGTGCCCTGTGAGACCCGGCTCAATGGCTCGCGGTTTAGACTTCAGGGTGTGGGGCTTAGGGCTCAGGGCTGAGGCTTTAGGGTTTAGGGTTCTGAACAGGAGTGAATCCATTTGCAGAAGAAGTGCATGGAGCTTCAGCGTAAGCATGTCTGTGTGTCTGTCACTAGATGGGTGAACGTTCTCCCTAATGTTTCGTTTCCCGTGCGCACCATGCACATGTACACGTCTGCATGGGGTGTTCTTCATATTATGTCTGTCTGTCTACATGTCCATACTTCTCTCTGTCTCTGCCAATCGCTGTGACTAACTCTGTTTGTCTCTGTCTGTCTCAGCCAAGCACCATTTGCGGTTGTTTGTTTGCAAGAGTGACGTGTGAGAGTAGTGAAGAGTTACCCAGTGTATGGTTCCGGTTCCGACTAGGATCGCCCGTGAGACAAAAGCACGAGTTTGCTCAATGTTCCACAAAGATCTATACAACTCGAATCGTTGCTGCGATGGCTTGGTGGAACTACTTCCGGGTGCCCACGCGATGCCTGACGTTCTAAAGCCTCAAACCCTGAAGCATACAAACCTAATCCCGAGACCCCGTACTTAGACAGTGAATGGGAGCAGTTGAAACATCCCAGCCCTAAAGCCCTCCAGTACTACGGTGGATAGACAAAATCTTGCACCACCTGCACATGCATACTTCAAACGAGTATGGCATCAAGCCACGCACTCCCTACTTCACGTTGGCAGCTGGGACTGCTTGAGCGGTGCAAGATTCCGGCCCGGCCATTGGAACAAATCTGGTCTCTAGCCTTTCACGGCCAATGCTAAAAAGGGGGTGCGGGGAATCATGAACTGACACTGCTGAAAAGTGAGATTTTGCCCATCCACAGTATGTTGCTGTGTGCGAGTGTAAGCATCGAAAGCCCTCAAGCAATACGCCCTGCACGCGAATCTGTACAAACCTGTTTGGCCCAGGCTGCGCGGACGTTTGCTGACGTTTGCAGCTTCTCCGCTCATTTATTCGGAGCCCAGTACGTAGTCGTTCTACTCTTGTGCACTAGTTTGACTTTCTACGGCTATGCTGATGATTTCTCGTTCTGGCCTCCTCGCTACGTGGTTTTATTGCTTGTAGTTCTACAGTAGCGACTTCTATTGATGATGACTGTTCATCAGGCCTCAATACGCCTCATCATCATCATCATCATCATGAAGATCGCACCTGGGGGATCAATAGTTTCCGCTCTGTTGGCCCCGGTCTCGAACTCTTAAACCGAGTCTTGCCCAAGACCGCCGAAAGATCCCGACAAGTCTGTGTTGTTAGTCAGTTGCGTATCAAGACCCTAAAACCGAGACCCGTAACCCTTATCATGTTTGTAGAATAGAGTTTTTTGTAGACCACATGAGCTCCTGCACCATGGATCAGAGCATGCTTCGACTTTCCAACGAAGAACCACGTTTGCAAGTTGACAAATGCACCCTGGAAGTTCATGAACCAACGTCGCGACTGAACCTGGACGACCAAGAAACCAGAAGGCCATGCACCCCCCGCCAAAGAAGAAAATCTGAAGCCGAATGCCGCGCACAGAACACATGCTCTTTTGCCGTGACTGTGCTCTTGTTGCTCAGCCCCGAAAGACCCTGACCCCCAAAATCCTGAAGCTGAGAACCTCAACATCCTGGCACCCAAGCTCTCATCATGCAGCCCTCTAGATTGTGAGGGATGGTGGTGCTTAGGGCTGAACTGACTGATTTGTTTCTTGGTAACATCGACCATCTTCCGAATAACCCGCCGAGGCCGCAACAGTGCACCAGGCATGTGGGAGTTTCCGAAAATAGGGGACCCTAATATACTACCCTAAATAATAGGATCCTTATTATAAGGGCCCCAAAAGAAGGTACCCTGAATTTTTGGAAACTCCCATGTCAGAACAACCAACTCAATTCAAGTGGGCCCCCTGTGTTCACGCAAGAGGCTTCGTCCTACCGGCTGCGCTTTATGATTTTGTCGGCTGGGCCGCGGCCTCAGCGCCAGAACTGTCATTGCATTTTTTTCGCGAGGGTGTTTTACCAAGTGTAGACATGTCGTGCCTGTTTAGTACTCCAAAAGAACTGTAATTGGGTACAGAATATGGGAATTAGAGGGTTCGTTTCGTTGCCATTCTTACTTACTTTGGTTCGCCTTTCCTCCATAAATTCCCGCCTTGATGGCCGTTGTTCTGTTCCGTACTCTGCGGCTGGAAGCCCAAGCAGTCTGCTTGGGCAACTCTAAAGCCGTCTAGTGCCTCGTCATGAAACACATACTTCCACAAGACAACCGACAAATGCCAACCGTTGAGCACAGAATAAGCCTACCGGTAAAGCGAGTTCCAGATGTGAGCGACTCTATATTACCGGGGAATATCGAGAGTCTACGTTGGGTACCCCAGGCACTCGTGTGGAGCTCAACTTCTTGATTCTGGATGGGACGGGTTTCGAGCGACAATGAAGAGAATGGAAGTCAGGGTAATGATCAAAGGCTGATTCGCTTGTGATGATGGGGATGATAACTTCCATGGTTATGGCGATGCTGTCGATGACGGTGCGTCCACGGTCCTGCTGGTGATAATGACGATGGTAGCAATGCAGACTTGCGCTGTTCAGTATCGCTAGCTGTGAGATTGCGGTGGTCCTGACTCTGGGGCGATGAATGAGTTGATACGATGGAGTCTGTGGAAAACCGATGGTGATGGTAGCGATCTCGATGGGATGGGGATGTTGGTCGAAATGATGATGACGTGATGACGATACTGGGGCTTTCGATTTGTCCTAAACCCTAAACCCTAGCACCGTGCTTCGAGGCCGGAGTCTCTTTATTCGGCGTCGCCCTTGCCTTTTGCTACCTCGTGCGCCGGGAAAGTTTCGAGCGCAAGAGGGTTCAGTTCGTAAGGTTTAGGGTCCTTTTTTAGGGCACTATAGGGTTCTATAATAGGGTTACTTAAAGGGATCTATAGGGGGTCTATAATGGGAGGATCATGGGACCTAGTAAGTAAGGTTATAAGTACCTTAATTGGGGTTAGAAGTAGACTTACCCTACTTATAACCCTAGTTACCTAAGTCCCGTGATCCTTTAAGTAGTCCCTGTAATAGAACCCCTATAGATCCCCTTTAAAGGAGCCCTTTAAGGAACCCTAGTTGCTAAGTCCCATGATCCCTTTAAGTGCGGCGGCCGGCAAAAGAGTGAAGGCCCAAAGCCCCGAAGTTTCAACACATCCAGGTATTGGCTGTGCCCATGCACGCGTCCAATGACGGGATGACAGCTTCTCTTAGTGAGTCCGTGCGCCCACCCACATTGCTCGTGTTCTGTGTTGGTCGGGAGGCATGCATACCGTTTTGCCTGAGAAGTCGCGGGCAACCGCACAGAGAGCGCAGACGGCTGCAACAGTAAATGGATTGCTCAATCGCGAATTTGTTTTTGCCTGTGAGCAGAGGCAGGGTCCGCAGGGTCGCCTCGTCTACATTGGACGGCTGTTTTGCGGCTTTGGTGATCGAAGCCGAAAGCCCTAAACCCGATTGTCCGAGTGTGAGCGCCGAAACCCGAGTTCCGCCCTAAACTCCGTGCCTAGTTCCGCACAGCAGATGTAATCCAAAGTTGGCATTTTGAAGCTACAGCCACTCTTGAATGCCAGGTGCTGGGCTCGTTTCAACTTAAGCGGATTTATTGGATCGACTGGATCCTGTCCGGGGCCTTCGCGCGGGTCTCGGCTGTGGTTTCTCTTGCTTGAGGACTTGGGTTTCGGGATTTCGGGCTGAGAAGCAGGGTGATTGCAACGATCAAAGAAAGTAAGAGCGATAGTTATGACAGCAAAAGCAGCAGCGCCATCAGCGGCAGGAGGTGACAGTAGTGGAAGTAGCTGGAGCAGCAGCTATAGTCATTGTAGTCGTCGTAGGTGTAGTAGTCGTATTGTTAGCCGTCGTTGTAGTGGAGGTGGTAGTAGCGGTAGTAGTATGTAGTAGTAGTGGCAGTGGCAGTAGTCGCAGTCGCTGTCGCACTCGAAGTCGCGGTCGCGCTGGTGGTGGTAGTTGGTGGTGGGTGGTGGGTGGTGGTGGTGGTGGTGGTGGTGGTGGTGGTGGTGGTGGTGGTGTTATTGGCAGTGGTAGTGGTGGTGGTGATAGTAGTAGTAGTCGTCGTCGTCGTAGTAGCAACAGCAGCAGCGCAGCGGCTGCAGCAGAAGCAGCAGGAAGAGGTGGTAGTAGTAGTAGTAGTCGTCGTCGTCGTCGTCGTCGTAGTCGTAGTGGTAGTGGTAGTGGTAGAAGTAGCAGAAATAGCAGTCGTCGTAGCGGTCGTGGGGGTGGCGGGGGTGATTGTGGTGGTAGTGGTTGTGGTAGTCGTAGGTGGTGGTGCCGATATCACTAGTGCAAGCATTTACGACTAGACTCGTTCGAGTGTGAGCTTGCACTCTGTGCCCAAGGTCAGCACAGAGCTGCAGTGGAACATGCCGGGGACACAGCTCTATGTACTGTGTCAGCAGAGCACTGCTTAAGCTCCTAGCTTCATAACTTGTGCCCATTTCCAGTTTGAAGCTTAGAGGAACATTCACGGACCTCGTGAGGTCTCGGGTCGTTAGCTATGCCAGGCAGGGACTCCCGAGCTTCCGCCAGGTTCCACCAATGGCCAATGACTAGCGTAAACTGAAGGATTACTGTAAGGGTTCTACAGCGGTTTTAAGGTTCCTCCCTTGCATTCCCTTCACTAGTGGAACGGCAATGAACGACGAAGGGATCGACGCAAAATCCGCAGAAGTGGCGTCGCTTGAACCTGCCAAGCACCTCGGGAGTAGAATCGTGGAAGATGAGATCGGAGTGCCATACCCAAGGCAGCTTAAGGCTGTTTCAGGCGATGCCGACGCAGTCATACTCCGAAAGCAGTGAGCCTGGAAGACTTCACTCCTGCACTCCGCATTGATTCATGGTTTTAGGGTGAGGAAGTTTAGGCTGTTTGGGGTACCCCTCAATGTCGCGGCCTTCGAAAGTCGCCTCAACATCCAGCAGAGGTTGAACACTGCGGTTCCAGCAGCGTTGGTCACCACCTTTGCCTTCCCGACATATGCGGTGGGCGCAGTCCTAGGCCTCGAACATTCGCAGTCCCGTCATCGGGATCTAGAGATCTACGTTTCCTGGTGAGGAATTCAAGCTGCGGTCTCTCCGAATGATTGCTGAAGTTGATGCTCTATATTCGGCTTGGCTGGAGTTTTTTTTGATTTCCCATTGCTTGCGGTTATGACAGCTGTTATGACAATGAGAAAGGGTTAGGGACGTAGCCCACTCTTTCAAGCTCGAGTTCACCATAAGGCCCTCTATAGCGCAATAAATCATTACCGACGTTATTCCGCAAGGGCCCCTAAAATCCTAAAACAACCTGCACTAAACTATAGCAAATCATTGCCTACATCATCCCTGAATAGCACTGCACTATATGATTGCAAATCTCTACTTACATTATTCCTGAATTCCTTAAGGGCTCCTTCATGAAACTATATTATAGCACTGCACTATATTATGGCAGAGCATTGCTTACATTGTTCCTTAAGGGCTCCTTCATGAAACTGTGCTACAGCGCGCAGGCTCGGGGGCCTTCGTTGCCATGTGCTTTCTGCTGGTGCTGCCGTCCCTCCCGAGGCCCGGATCTTGCCGTGGAGAGAAGGGGAGATGCTTTAAGGTTAGGGTTTAGCGTTTAAGGTTTGCACCTGTTTAAGAAAAGTCACGAGAACAGGGTTCTATAGTAAATATTGGACTCTTAAGGTTTACGGTCTAGAGTGGGCATGAGGTCGTTGCGCTTGTCGGCCTCGGTCAAGATGATTGCAAGTCGTTGGCTAGACTTGAGTCCAGTAGCAAAAAGAGTGGCATCAGGGCATGTGCAGTCCCTTTTCGATCATAACAGGTTTAGGGGTAAAGTTCAGGGTCTTAGAGTCCAGTAGCACAGAAAGTTCAGGGGAAGGTTAAATGGGTTTCGGGCGTGTCGGCCTGAAGTAGAACTGTTGGAGGTTTCGTCAACTCGGGGCTGCAAGTCCGGAGAGCTGGGTGGTGCGTCGAGGTGCTTCAACCAGCCGCGACCGACGAATCTGTTGGTCAGCTACACCTTCATGAGCATGTCCTGGTTGTTTATGCCATGCACTCAGCTGGATTGAGGTTTTTGGTTTGCGGTGCACTCAACAGATTGTAATATCCTTAAGGGAGGGGGGTCCAAGGGGGGTATATAGCCTAGTGATCCCTAATTCTCCCCAGTACTCCCTAAGGTTCCCTTACAGTCCCCTAAGGATTCCTTATACCCACCCCCCTAGAACCACCCTCCCTTAAGGATCCTATAACTGACGTGGGATGCCGTCACACGCATGTGGATCTGCTCCCAAAGTCTTCAGGGATTGGAGGTGTTTCTCAGTCAGTGATGAAGTCTGGAGCCCAACGCCTTAAGCCCGAGACACAGGGGGAAGTGTCCTGGGGAATCCTGCAGGCATGCCTGCCGGCTAGATGTGATTTGTGGTAACCTCGCCCCAGCTCCAAACCGCGGCTGTCTCGTGCATCGTTGGAACAACCTGGCGCAAGGGCTTCAGAAAGTTGACTTCCGTTCGCATTGTCATACACAAACCTTGCGACAAACACCCCAAGAACCCAGCCGCACGACACTCAATCCTTTAATCAACCCAGGTCGCCCTAAACCCTAGCGATAACCCCTGAAGCCCTTTTTACCCTAAGCCCTAAACCCTCGTGGACGAAAAGGGAGGGTCTGAAGAATAAAAAAACTCTAAACCCTAAACCCTAAAACCCTAAACCCCTAAACCCTAAAGCCCTAAACCCCTAAACCCTAAAGCCCTAAACCCCTAAACCCTAAAGCCCTAAACCCGTAAACCCTAAAGCCCTAAACCCCTAAGCCTAAACCCTAAAACCCTAAACCCCTAAACCCTAAAGCCCTAAACCCCTAAACCCTAAAGCCCTAAACCCTAAAGCCCTAAACCCAACCCCTCAAGCCCTTTCAAACGCCCTTCAGACCCAGGTCCCTGGCTTTTGCTCCATCTCTCGCCCCCCCGATCTTCGTAGTTGGCGTGTGGGCGCTGCTCGTCCATGAACCTGGTTTAGGGTTTAGGGTTTGAGGTTTGAGGTTTAGGGTTTAGGGTTTGAGGTTTAGGGTTTAGGCTTTGAGGTTTAGGGTTTAGGGTTTGAGGTTTAGGGTTCAGGGTTTAGGGCGGGACGTTCGGCTTCTAAGGATCCTGAGCAATGTATTGCTAACACTATGCCTCAGGGCTCCTGCTTTCATCATCGTACTCAATCTTCCAGTCCAGTTCTAGTCTTCTGGGGGTGACGGTCAGAGGACGGTGGTCGCAGTAGTGGTGGTACGGCTGATGGACAAAATCCTGCATGACCCTAAGGACTTTAAAACTATGGGAACTATGGTATATTCCTTACAATGGATAATGCAGGATTTTGTCCATCAGCAGTAGGAGGAGTAGTACTTAGTAGTCGTCGTCGCAGCGGTAGCGGTAGTGGTAGTGAAGAGGAAACATGAACTCGACACCTTTCCGTCCGGAACCAAGACCCCACCGGCCGGGCGTCACTGGAGTTTTAGGTTTAGGGCTTAAGAGCAGAGCCTTAATGATTAGAAAAGGATTTTGGGGTGAAGCGGATTGAACGTCGGGGCGAGCAAAGAGAAGCAGAGTGACAGGTGCACCCTCTTGTACAATAACTCTCAGAGCAAATTAAGCTCTAAGCTTCTCAACGATACGACTAACAGATTGAATCATTGCACCGAATTCTTGGTGCCATTGATTGAGAGTCGCTATAGGAATGTCATGCAGGGTTTGGGGTACATTCTAGTACAACACAGTATAAGGATCAGAATAAGAAGCCCTGGGAATAATGTTTGTAATTATTCCGACCCCTACAGACAGACCCGAATGGGCTTCGAAACGAGACACAACGTGGAGAGTTGATCGTTTTGTGCCTTGACGGGTGAGTGGTTGTAGACTGCAAAGCCCCAGACACAGCGGCGACAAGTGACAAGCAAGCATAATATTGAAATAGTCGAAAAGAATGTACTTTATTTAATGTATTGGTATACTCAATATGTTCAATATAGTAACATAGAAAGAGTAGCGCAGAGTCGAGCGGAGTGGAATGTCATGGAGAAGCGTCGCGTAGAGGACGGGACAGCGTAGGATAGTCTTAGCATGGTGTGGCATGGCAGGGGACAGCGCAGGATAGCACAGGACAGCCTAGGACAGCACAGGAATGTCATAGACCAGCATAGGACAACATAGACTAGCATATGCGTAATCGAGAGTGCGCCAGTTTCAGGCTTCTCGTACTCGGGCTTCCTTGGGATTGCGGACTTTGGGACTTTTGTCCGTTCTCAGGGTTTAAACTCGCCGCTCTTTTTTGGAGAGGGGTTTAGAGTCTAGGCTCTGTGTTTTTTTTTTTGTGTGTGTGTATTGCTCTCGGTTTTTGGGCTCTGTGACTTTTGGAGCTTCTCGAATCACGGGCGCCTGAAATTGTCAGGTTCCTGTCTATGGCCAATGCCTCCCAGGCAGGATGCAATGAAGTGGCTTGCAAAACAGAACAAGTGGGCTTCGGGGTATGTATGTGTGTTTTTATATTATATGTATATATAGTTACGTATGTACATCAGAATATGGGTCGATAGACAGATAGATAGAGTATGCCTGTATGAGGACGACAAGCGGATATTGTTTCTAGATTCTAGACCTAAACACCTCAACCCGCCCAAGGGCTTCCGTCAGTTTTGCTGCTTTTGGGGCAGGCGGGCCTGCCCATCTTGAGCTGAACACTCACCATGGCTGCATCTTCCGGGGTCCTGCATCTGTCGGCGAAAGATGTGACAAGCTCGTGATTCTGCAAACCCTACACCCTTCAACCCTAACCCCTGAATCCCTAGGCCCTAAACTTACTCCGGGGCCTGTTGTTGCTTACCTCTTCCACGAGTCATGGAGACAGTTCCGCACAGTAAGCAAGCAGTTTCCCAGAATTTCAGACCTCGAACCACATGCCTCGCCTGGATTGTCCGAGTCTCAGCACCGGAAGCCCCAAATCTTGAGCCCACCCTAAACCCTAAACCCTAAACCCCAAACCGTGTTCGAGCCTGAGGCTTCAGTCTGATGGGTCTTGACAGGCAGTGGAATCGAGCTTGTTTTGAACGTCAGGTCGGGTCAATGTAGGGCCGAACTGTTGGTTACAAAATCCCTTATAGTCCTTGTCGCAAGAAGAGTATCATATGCCCCCAAACCTATTCTAACTAGCAAGGGAGCCTATGTCGTGGAGTATTGTAAAACTACTTGATGGTGAGGGTTATGCCGGGGAATCTGTACTCCCCAGCCCGAGCATGTCGATTACCGTACAAGTCTCACTCATCAGTGGCAAGGCAGCTACTGTGCAGGCAGGCCTAGATGAAGTGGTGGAGACATTGATTCAACGGGCACAGATCGCACTTGGAGTCGGGAAAGGGCGGCTGCTGGACTCCTCTGGAGTCGTTCTGGATGGGCACGCAGAAACAACGAAATCCAGGATTCAGAACGGTGACTGGTTGACCTTGCAAGTAAGCCGGGTTCAGGTTCAGTCGTCGGATCGCTCTTTTGCTGCCATTCTTGGGGATGGATCCGTTGTGACTTGGGGTAATGCTGGCTTTGGTGGCGACAGCAGTGCTGTGCAGAGCCAGTTGAAGAACGTGCAGCAGATCCAAGCGTCTTACGGCGGTGTTTTTGCTGCCATTCTGGGCGATGGATCTGTCGTGACCTGGGGGCATGCTCTGTCTGGCGGCGACAGCAGTGCTGTGCAGGGGCAGCTGAAGAATGTGCAGCAGATCCAAGCGTCTGCCAGTGCATTTGCTGCCATTCTTGGCGATGGATCCGTTGTGACCTGGGGTCTTGCTGCTACCGGTGGCGACTGTAGTGCTGTGCAGAGTCAGCTAACGAATGTGCAACAAATCCAAGCCTCTGCCAGTGCGTTTGCTGCCATTCTTGGAGATGGATCGGTTGTGACCTGGGGTCTTGCTGCTACAGGTGGCACCTGTAGTTCTGTGCAGGGTCAGCTAAAGAATGTGCAGCGGGTCCAAGCCTCTCGCGGTGCTTTTGCTGCCATTCTTGGCGATGGATCTGTCGTGACCTGGGGTCATGCTGCCAGTGGTGGCGACAGTGTTGCCGTGCAGGGTCGGCTGAAACATGTGCAGCAGATCCAAGCCTCTTACGGCGGTGCTTTCGCGGCCATTCTTGACGATGGATCCGTTGTGACGTGGGGTTGTGCTGACTCTGGCGGCGACTGTAGTGCTGTGCAGAGTCAGCTGAGGAACGTGCAGCAAATCCAAGCCTCCCGCGCTGCTTTTGCCGCTATTCTTGGCAACGGATCCGTTGTAACCTGGGGTCTTGCTGCTGCTGGTGGCGACTCTAGTGCTGTGCAGGGTCGGCTGAAACATGTGCAGCAGATCCAAGCCTCTCGCGCTGCCTTTGTTGCCATTCTCGGCGACGGATCCGTGGCGACCTGGGGTTGCGCTGACTCTGGCGGGGACAGCAGCCCTGTGCAGGGTCAGCTGATGAATGTGCAAGAGATCCAGGCCTCAGGCGGCGCTTTTGCTGCTATTCTTGGCGATGGATCCGTTATGACCTGGGGTGCTGCTTTAGATGGTGGCGACAGCAGAGCTGTGCAGGACTTGCTAAAGACTGTTCGATAGGTTTGTGTGTTCGCTGGTAGATCGTGGAGCGTCATCGTGGTTTAGGCAAGCTGTGGTGCAACTCGCAGCAGTGCAGCAACAAAAGCACCCTGCATTGCCGGCACAATTCTAGCCAGGTTGGAGGCAAAAGAACTTACAACCCCACGTGCACCGACAGTCCCGAACAGACACCCAAATCCTTCGCCTGCAGAGCCCTGCTAGACTTACTAGACGCATCAGCCCAAAAGGCTTATTGCCTGCTAGACCCGAAAACCCACACTGGAGCTAAATCCTGCAGCCCGAACGCCCCAGTTCGTGTATCACTCGACCTTCTTTCAGTCTGGCCACATTCGTGGTTGGCAATTTCCTCTTCCCCCGGCCAGAAAACCCAACTCTTTACTAGCTGGGGGAGAAGCTGCAGTACCTTGCTGCGCTGAGCACAGGGTTGGAGTCCAAGTGTTAGCTCCTAAAACATGAAGCTTGAGTCTCTGAAGCACTCTGACACGCAAACCCCAACCCCACACTTCAGAACTCCATCACAGTCTACATCCCTGGAGCCGCAGTACACAAAATTAGAATGGGGTTTTGGGAGTTCCCTCTTGTAATGACGTATATTATAACATACCCCTCAAACCCTATTCTAATCATTAAGGCGCCCACGTTACCCCAATAAAAAGTGCGATTACGAAGACTTGGAGGATCATGGGACTCAGGAAGAAAGGTATTAATTCGGATTACAAGTATAGTCACCCTGAGTTATAACCCTAGTTGCTACTGCAAGACGGAAAAAGGCGCTCAAAAAATGAAAAAAACCTAGTTACTAAGTCCCAGGATCCTTTAAGGACCCTGTCTTCTTGAGCCCCCCCGAGTCGCCAGGTGGTGCTCATGGAATGCCTGACGGGCGTGAATGACGTGGAAACTTCGGGCCAGGACCGCCACTTGGAGGGTCAGGGGACTTAGTAAGTAGGTTAGAAGTAGGGTTATCATTGGGGTAACTCCATGTAGGTAACTTATAGCCTTATTTATAAACCCTAAACCCTAATCCCTAAACCCTAAACCCTACTTACTAAGTCCCCTGGGCCTCTAAGCACAGAGACTGTTTGGGACTTCGGGGGCCCTTGAGGGGTGGCCGTGGGGGTTTTGAGTGAAGGGCTCGCAGCTTCTTTTTTAGGGTGGCGGTGGTGGAGTTCAGTCTAAGTCTAGTTTCTAGCTGTTCTTGCAGTTTAAGTTTCATGAGCTTTCTTGCTTTCGGAGGTCGGGTTCTGGGCCTTCTCGCATGCCTGAAAAATCGTGATACGCCTGCTGCAATAAGGCTTTGAAGCTGAAGCTCTAGGAGTCAGGATCCACCAGAGGCCCCCTACACGGGGCTTTCTTACCGGCCAGCCAGCCGTCGAAGCCAGCAGCACATCTGCCGTAAAGGGTGAGGAGTGAAGAGTTACTGATAGTTTTTTTTGAAGTTCCTTAATCTGACTGATGAAATGAAAGCACGCCCAAAAGCACTGGTTCTGATGATGAAGGCCGCTGTATTGAACTCTTATAACTTATATTGTACCAACTCTTCTCGTAACCCTTAGATAAGAGCCCTTTAAAGGAATACCGCACAGCCCTACTCTAATGATTGAAGCTCCTATACTAAAGCCAGATCATGGGCATCTCAGAGATGCTGGGCTGTGCTGTAGGCCGGCACCCCTGCACGTCCTTGCTTTCCGGCTGGGGGATTCTTTGTCATAGGTGGGTAAAATTTTACATTTTTAACGGTACTTAAACCCAATAAGGAATAAAGAATTAAATTTTTGATCGTATCCCAACCATGAACCAGGATTAGGGATCAAGGGGCCCTGAGCCGCAAAAGCTTGCCTAAAGCTCGATGTGATGAATCGCTTGTGGGGCGGAGAGAGTACCAACGATACTAAGCGGTCCCCTTGTCCAACAAAAAAGGGTGCAGGCATGGTGTGAAATTAACACACCAGGGGTCAATTGCCACGTATCTGTGTAGGGAGCCAGGCGAGGCGGGCACAGGGGAGAACATCGTTTTAACGTGAGCGAGCAGCTCCTCACAAGCGAACATATAGAGAGACCCACCTCCGAAATAAATGCGTCTTTATGCGTATTCGTGCGTCTGCCTGTCTATCTATGTATCTATCTATCTAACCACCTACCCATCTATGCATCTATCTATCTATCTACCTATCTCTGTCTGTCCGTCTCTCCGTCTCTCTCTCTCTCTCTCTGTCTGGCTGTCTGTCTGTCTGTCTAGCTATCTACTAGCTATCTACCCGTCTGCCTATGTTTATACCTATCTATCTATCACCTATCTACATGTTCACGTGCTTATATGTGTATAAATATACACATTCACACACGCACACACATATATGCATATATATATATATATATATATGTAAGTGTATATATATATATATGTATGTGTTTATTTGTATATATTTGTATCTGCATATATATATACACATGTGTATATATATATATATGACATGTATACATATATATATATATGTATAAGTAGGTGTTCATATTTACATACACATGCACACAGACATGTGTCGATGTACTCTCAACCCTTCACCCAACACACGAAGCCCTAACCCCGTGAACTGTGGTTCTGCCAGCCCCCAAGAGGCATGCTGGGCAGTTATGCGGGGGCCATGCTGTTTGCGGTGGCTCCCGTGGCGCCGTTTCTAGGTTCCTTAGGTTGCAATGAGAATCAGTCAGGATCTGGTGTTGGGTGTCTAAAGCAAGAAGCGGGATTCTTAATGTTGGAGTGGTTTTAATAACCCCCCCCCCTGAGGTTGTTTTGCGCGGGGGTCTCTTGGGGCAGGGTCTGGGGTCAGGGTGGCAATAGTAAACCTCTGGCCTTCTCCGGGCCTAGTATACCAGTAGTAATAGTAATTAGTAGTAATAGTAGTAATAGTAGTAATAGTAGTAATAGTAGTAATAGTAGTAATAGTAGTAATAGTAGTAATAGTAGTAATAGTAGTAATAGTAGTAATAGTAGTAATAGTAGTAATAGTAGTAATAGTAGTAAAAGTAGTAATAGTAGTAATAGTAGTAATAGTAGTAATAGTAGTAATAGTAGTAATAGTAGTAATAGTAGTAGTACGTGAAGTCTCAACTTCTAGCATTCGCAGCACTCTGGCTTCTGTGCCCTCGCCCCTTCTGCTTTCCTTCTGAACTCCCTCTGACGCCACTGGACTGAAGCAAGGAGTCTGGCCGGCTCAAGTTTAGCAGCTGCAGTTCCTGGAATCCGGAGTCCCTGGCTTCTTGCCAAAGCCTGCAACTCTCGAATGCCAAAGCCTCTGGCTTCTTGCCCAAAGCCACTGGCTTCATAGCTTTCCCAAAAGCAAGGCTTCCCATGGGGAGCCCCTCCCCCGGAGGAGTTCATTATTGCCACCCCGTTTATAATTGCCAGAAGAAGGGCTGCAAAGGGTTACCCTTGCCGGCTTTGTGAAATGGCTCCGTTTATATAGAATTGGAATAAGGAACCGACCTCAAGTTTAGCTGCTGCAGTTCCTGGAATCCGGAGTCCCTGGCTTCTTGCCAAAGCCTGCAGCTTTCGAATACCAAAGCCTCTGGCTTCTTGTCCAAAGCCACTGGCTTCATAGCTTTCCCAAAAGCAAGGCTTCCCATCGGGAGCCCCTCCCCCGGATGAGTTTATTATTGCCACCCCGTTTATAATTGCCAGAAGAAGGGCTGCAAAGGGTTACCCTTGCCGGGTTTGTGAAATGGCTCCGTTTATATAGAATTGGAATAAGGAACCGACCTCAAGTTTAGCTGCTGCAGTTCCTGGAATCCGGAGTCCCTGGCTTCTTGCCAAAGCCTGCAGCTCTCGAATACCAAAGCCTCTGGCTTCTTGTCCAAAGCCACTGGCTTCATAGCTTTCCCAAAAGCAAGGCTTCCCATGGGGAGCCCCTCCCCCGGAGGAGTTTATTATTGCCACCCCGTTTATAATTGCCAGAAGAAGGGCTGCAAAGGGTTACCCTTGCCGGGTTTGTGAAATGGCTCCGTTTATATAGAATTGGAATAAGGAACCGACCTCAAGTTTAGCGGCTGCAGTTCCTGGAATCCGGAGTCCCTGGCTTCTTGCCAAACCTTGCAGCTTTCGAATACCAAAGCCTCTGGCTTCTTGTCCAAAGCCACTGGCTTCATAGCTTTCCCAAAAGCAAGGCTTCCCATCGGGAGCCCCTCCCCCGGATGAGTTCATTATTGCCACCCCGTTTATAATTGCCAGAAGAATGGCTGCAAAGGGTTACCCTTGCCGGCTTTGTGAAATGGCTCCGTTTATATAGAATTGGAATAGGGAACCGGTGACCCTGCGGAGCTGCAGCGGTATCTGCTGAACAGACTGCGTCTGGAGCTGGGTTTAGGTGGCAGCCTGAGTTCTTCTGTTTCACAGCTCTCTTGATGCCATTGGATCTGCCGAGGGGTGGAGTGAAATAGTCTGGAACTGCACTCTGCGAGCTAGTAGTTCAGTGTCGTCTGTGCCGATCTGCACTCTGCTGGCTGGGTTTAGGGTCCTCTTTGTTTGAGTCTCTGGTAAATACGTAGCCTCGTCTGTAGAATTTTGGGGATTTCGGAGCCCGAATATTTTAATTGTCACCCCGTTTATTATTGCGACTGAAAAAGTATGATCAGTTGTTTGGCCAAATATGCCCTCGCCTTTAAACTCCTCTTGCGCCCGGAAATTCTGGCCCGGGGAATATTTTAATTGTCACCCGGTTTAATAAATCCACTCTTACATTATTCTCGTGGGCAATCTCGTCGTTTTGGAGCGGCTGTTTTTCTCGCCCCGGGGTTGTCAACGTCGATTTCGGCACTCGGGCCGGTCCGAGACATGAGAGTCGAACACCGGATTTCCGTCAACGAGGCTCCGGAAAGCCTCAGCACAAGGCCGAAGGAAGAGGTGCCGGAAGGGCTGCTCATGACAACTGCATAGCGACACGCGATTCTCCCAGATGCCTGCAACGGGGATCGTGCTGTGACATCTGAACTTTGAACTCCGAAACCCTGGACACGGCGAATTTCCCGCCACTGCGACTTCGTCAGCTGCGTGGGTGGGGCAAAACCCGTGTTTCTTGTCTGTCCGAGTTGTGTTTCACTCCGCCGACTTACAGACATCTGCCTCACTGTAATTGTCCCAGCTGCGAAACCCGAAACCCGGCGCTCAAAGAACATGAGAAGCCGAAACACTAAGCCGGCCCTGATTCTTCTTGTTCTTATTGTGATTCTTGTTGTTACTTCTTCTATGTGAAAGAACTGACTGCATGGCGTTTGCCGCTGTGACCGTTTGCTGTAATGGGCTCGGAAATGCGTCACGACAGCTCAACAGCTGCTTACTTGAGTGAGTGTGCCTGCAACTTCAGATTGTCCCTTCCGGACGAGGCCCAAGGTTGTTGGCTTTGTTCCAGTTGTGGTTTTTGGAGTTGGGGCTTTGAAAGACCGGACTTGGGGTTCAAGGACGCAGGAAGACCATGTTGGAAGTCGAAAGCTGCACGATGAGGTTTTGAAGCACATCCTTTAGAAGGGGCCCCCCCACCCTGTAATAGTGGCATAATGGGAATATAGTAGGGCCCTAATATATTCCTTATAATCACTATTACAGGGTGGAGGTCCCTTCTATCTTCTAACACATCTTGCTTTGTAGTGCAGGGGCGGTGCACAGTGTTGTGATTTCTGATGGGTTCAAGCGAAGTCCGAAGTTCTTCCGACTTCTGCTGAAGAGGCCTACATGCTAATTACCACTACTATCTTGCAACCCTATGCTAAGTATTAAGGCCCCTATATGCCGCTATATTATGGAACCCTACTATGGATCCCTTATAGAACCCTTTGGAACCCTACTCTAGTTACGAAGGCCCTCTGTTACTTACTGCCTTGCGAGGTTGCGGAGCAGCTGCCTTGGGCTGCACGCTGTTTCTCTGCACGGAACCGAGCCAGGGTTTGGATACTTGGGATTGATTGGGCTACTAGAGGTGCTTAAATGATTATCAATACTATTCTTAGGTTCCTGAATTATAGGTATAGTACAATGGGCAGATTTTAATTACTAAGGCTCCTATATTATGTGGCTTTGGGGTGAGACGAGGAGGGGCGCAGTTCATCAAAGTTCTGAAGACTTGATACTCTCCAGGTGTGGCTTATCAACCACCGGACCTGGGTAAGCAGAGGTTTTGCGCGAATTAGAGTCTTTATTCTCAGGAAATTGACCCGCTTGATTTTAGGGTTTAGTTTGAGGCACCGACCCTGCGAACCCTCATACTTCTTGCAGGGTGTATCGATCGTCAGTGTTTTTTGCTGTCACTTGGAAGTGCAAATACTCGATCGTGAATGCGCAGGCTGCCAGCTTGGATGTTCTTACCACCAGTCACCAATTTTTATGACTTTGTGCAGCGCGTCAGGGGAAATCGCCAGCTCTTCTCTGTGCCTGCTTCCCTTCTCGGCTTATGGGATGCTTACGTGGTTGTGACTGGTGTGGCTTGCGGCATCGAAAGGGGGCCTGCAAAATGGCATGAAATAGCACACGACATGACCACGAACACATGTAGACGCATAAATATATGAATGCATTCATACAAACAGACGAAGGGACAGCCCCACGGACAGCCAGCAGCCAGCCAGGCTGTCAGGCAGACAGGCAGACACAGATGGAAGCAAATGCATACATAACGAATATAGTATAGTCTATTGTTATTGTAATTTAGTACATGATAGTACAGTATATCATAGTAGAGTATACTATAGTCTAGTATATTATAGGATAGTTACTTCCGATTCCGGAGCTGTCGCTCCTTCAGCGCAGGTTTGGCCCTGGGTGTCCGTCGCGTTGAAGTGCACAAGCGCTTGTCAGGCAGGTTGGCAATTGGGGAGAGTAATGCAGGGAGCTGAATAACTCGAAAAGCTCGTGGGGGCATGTTGCAGTGTTTTCTTTATTATTGCACGTTGTACTCTAACCATGCAGTTGGCAAGGCATATTGTTGCGACGAGTTATGTACATGCTTTGATCCCCATGGTGGCACCGACAGCATCGAAGTCGTCGAACCATACTATAATGGTCAAGCAGTGCAGAGTTTCGTATTCCCGGCAAGCGGCGCCGACTGCGTTCCGCCTCCCTCTTCAGTTTCTGCTAACTTCCAAATTGCATTACCGATGAAAAATGGTATAAATAATGATTGATAGTATTAATGGTAGCTAATAATAGTAGTAGTCATAATAATAAAGATAATCGTACTACTCTTGGCCACTGCCTAAGAATTCGACTCGACAGCATCAGCCGTAAGCCCGAACCCCGAGTCCCAACCGCGGAGCCTCAAGACTCCCTGGTGCTTTGTAGGGAATGGGGGGAATGGATCCCGAAAGTAGCCCGCATATGATCCCCAATAGTAGTCCTCATAACCCATTCCCCATGCCCTGCTAACAGCCATACAGCGACTATAGATACCCTAAGACCCCGTATAGAATCCTTATGGAGCCCTTACAGAACCCTTGTATGACCCCTTAAAGCAATTCCTCAATGAGTCGCCCCCGCCAGACAAAGCCGATCCTGGGAGCCTAATTAGCGACTTGGAGCTTTCGCAGGCAGGGGGTGGTCCTTCTCGTTTAGGTGGTGGTCAAAATTCTGGTCCCTTGTTTGGGGTAATCGAAATATGAGGTGCCGGGCTATACTACGGACCCCAAAAAGGGACCATCATTTTGACAACCACCCATTTCAAGTTGGTACTACTGCCATTATTAGAGAGACAAACTCGTCCAACAAGGCCCATAATTAACATATCATGACATCGCAACCTTGCTCCGTGACCATCCAGCCATGCAAGAGGCAAAAATTGGTTATTACTATGACTATTTTCCAGTACGATCACTACTGGTATCATGATTTGCTGTTATTGTTTTGTATTTGTATGTGTATTTGTATGTATGACATTTTTTGCTTTCGGGCTTGCTGGTTTTGGGTTACGGATTGTGAGCTAGCGGTTCAATGGTGATTGGCTTGCCTCGGCTACAGACTGCAGCTCCCGCGAGTATGCGAGAGACAGCGACCAGGAGGCTCAACTATAGAATCCTAAATCATAGGATCATATAGGATCCTTACTGTGAGCACCCTTAAACAATGTACCCTAGTTTTTCCGAGAACAAGAGAAGCATTCATGCTGGTTAGCTGAAGGGTTATGGGCTACAGGTTCTATGTAGTCGCCATCTAGGCTTTTTGAGAGACGGGCCAGCTGACTGCCACTGGGATTAATGTCTACGGCTGTTTTCATGATTGTGATTCTAAGTCTGATTGATATGTCTTCTGTCATCTTTATTATTATAATGGTTATTCGCGTTGTTATTATTACTCCTCGCACACCTTAACGCGGAGCCCTGAAATCCAGAAGTCCCAGTCGGCTGCAGGATTCTACCAGCCTGGTGGAAGAGAGCGTCCAGGGCCTCGGGATGAGCCTTCGGCCTTTTTCATGGGTGTTGTTTAGAAGCTGCCCCCACCCTGTGATAGTGGTATAATAGGAATATAATGGGGCCCTAATATAATCCTTATAGTCACTATTACAGGGTGGGGGCAGCTTCTAAGGTGTTGTTGGCTTGTGGGAGCCCAGCAAGGGCTCAGAACATGAGATGAAGATCTGTGCTCACACAGAGCGACCTTTCGTTTAGTGGCTACAGATGGTTTCGATTGTTGGCTCTGCTGTTTCGGCTTTTTGTTATCGTTGTCATCATGCCCCGAGTGTAGAAGGCATCAGTTACATCTGGTGATCGACGGAAGTGCAGACAGCACAATAAACATTTCTACCAGCACAATAAACATTTCTACCTACGGCCGAATTCTACAAAGGTGCCCCAAAACTGCTCGGGACTCTTTCTGAAACCTGCTCGTCTCTGTCCTAGTTGAGTCCATTCGGACCATGTTGAAAATTAAGGGGGGCGCCCGCTAAGATGCGTTGGCACTTTCAGCGCCAGCTGACATTAGATAATGAAATCCGATGTCCGATGCTATTGAACCTCTGAGCCTCTAAGCCTTGAACTTTAAACTCGCCACAACATCGGCCTCCAAGCTTTGAGTCCGAAGAAAGGATCATGCGCGATGGCGAGCGCGCCCACTCCTACATCGGACCGGAGGCTGTCGATCTCCAGCGAAGACACCACCCCGGAGGTTTGTTCTCAGAGAGCCCAATGAATAGTCCGCAGTCCAGGAATCCCTGTTGACGGCTGAGTTTACGGTTTAACGGGCGACGTAACCGTACTATGCCCTTGCTAGCGCTTCATAGAAGCCATGTAGAAAGCCCAAGCTTACTGCCCCAAGCATGTCCGACAATCAAACCCTAAACCCTTGTAGAACCCTACCGACGCTCTTCTGGTCGAACCCTTTTGCTAGCACCCTCCTTTGCTGGCGGAGCCCTTAGAAGAGACTTGGACCTGAAGGGAAGGCCTCTTCGGAAGCCCTGCGAGGTCGCACATAGAGCCCACTCCGAAGGCCGGGCTTTTGCTGCGCAAGGTCTGCCGACCGTGGTGAGGCTTGCAGCTTCTCGTTTCTTATAGGGCCTACTTTAACCCTTCAAAGGGGATTGCGTTTTTATAGATTTATAGGGCTTACTTTAACCCTTCAAAGGGGATTGCTGAGGGGTGTTGGGTTGGGTCCTAAACCCTAATTGGGATCGTGGTGTACTTCAACTCAAGAGCCCCGAGTATCTGCAGTCTCACTCAAGAGACCTCGAACCATGCGCCTCTCACCTGGATTGTCCGAGTGTCAGTGCCGAAACCCCAAACTTTTGGTTCCCTGCCTAGTGATTCGCTGGGCAATGCGGGAGGCAAGCAAAAACCCTTGGTTCCCAGCGGTGCGACGTTGTCAGCTGGGAGGATGGGAAGAAAACCCTTGGTGCCACACACCACAGCATCCCACAACGTCTGCAGCCCTGAAGCTCTAAACCCGAAGCTTCGGGTTAGGGTTTCAAAGGGCTCGCTTGAGGCCTTGCAGACGGGGTTTGCGGGTTGGGGACATCTCCCGGATGTCTACCTAAAACAGCATTGCAGTAAGACCCTCTAAACCGCAAGCCCTCCTGTTGGTTTCTGACAAATCCGCACGTTCTAGGAAGTGTTTCATCTCGTCCGGCTCAGCACCAAAATTCTCGCCTGGCTTGTCCGAGTGTGAGTGCAGAAACCCTAAGCCCGAAACCCCTAAAGCTGGTTACTCTCCTCCCTGCAATGCCTGCCTCGTCCTCGCTAAGTAGGAGGGAAAAGAACCTGTTTTCTTAGAGGATTGGGCAGGCATAAAGAGCAGCTCAAAAAATCCAAACCCCTAAATCCTAAACCTTAAGAACCTCGCCTGGCTGTGTCCGAGTTGTGAGAGCGTAAACCCTGACCCTAAACTGGCATGTCCGAGTTGTGGGAGCGTAACCCCTGAGCTCCTAGAACCCCTAAGCCCGAAGCACCCAGAGACTCCAATATCCCTTAATTCAGGAATATACCTTAAACCATATTAAGGATCCTACTATAATTTAAGGTATATTCCTTAATTAAGGGATATTGGAGTCTCTGGGCAGGTTCGCCAGCCACCTCCCCGGCTTCTTCGGCCTCTCCTCCTTACGCGAGCCGCCGTGGAGTGACGATCCCGGGCCATGCCATGGACTCTTAATTTAGGGGCCTTGATATTTAGAACGGGGTTCCTTTAAAGGGATCCTGAAAGGGTTCTACAAAATTTATAGTAGGGTTCCCTTATTTAGGGGCCTTATAAGGATTTAATGTGGGGGCCTTTTTAATTAGAATATGGTCTGGGGTGTTTATATACTACGACTACAGTATGATACTGTACCACCGAAGCAGGATTAGCAATTATTCAAGCCCCCATATTACAGGTTTAGCTTCTATGGGTTCCTATAAGGGATCTACAAGAGTTTGTTTAAGGGTTTCCTCTTGAAAGGGTTCCTAAAAGGGATCTTGATATCTCCATTAATATAGGGGCCTTAACAGTCAGAATAAGCAGAATAGGGTTCCTTTAAAGGGTCTATAAGGGCTACCAGAAGGGCTATTATAATAAGGATTTTAGTGTAGGGGCCTTAATGATTAGAACAGGGTGTAGGGGTGTAGTATACTGTAATCATAATAATAATAATAAGGAACTCCCAAAATAGTATTGGTGATTAGTAGACCCCTACATTAAGTTTTAGGTTCAGGTTAGGATTTGTCAGGTCGGGGTTGGGGAATCCGGGGGCTAAGCTTTTGATCGGGCTCTAGAACGGTTAAGAGCAATCGTAGCATTTAGGTCTGCGCGGGTTTAGGGTCTTAGTATAGAAGCTTAAACAATTACAAATATTATTCCTTACTGTTCCTTGTTAAACTATAAGTATCCTATAAAGGGGCCCAAGACCCTATTCTAACTGTTAAGGCCCCTGTAGTAGGTTCTTTAGGTTCAGGCGTCGCCGCCTGATTGCTTGCGTCGCGCCGCTTGCGGCACGAAAAGTCCAAAGAGGGGTTGTCGACCTGAAGCAGCAAGGTGGACACTAAGCTGCCTTGAACCAAAGGAGCCATAAATCCTGAACAGATCCTTGCAATGCAAAAGGAAGAAGACCCTTGAGACGAAAGAGGCTGCGTCGTGCTTGCCTTCCGCCAGCCCAAGCTCAGCAAAGATGTGCTGCATGGTGTTAGCTGACGCCTACGTCACGCACCCTATGAGCCTCGCAGAACACCTCAGGCGTATGCCTACCTGACTAGACGACCTACCAAAGCCTCAATCCCTGCGGTAGGGTGTAGGTCCTCTGCCCAAGCTGTCCCGCCTTACATGCGACATTTGCAGGGTACGGCCTTTGATGCCTTTGCGAGATTCTTCAGCCGCTATAGATACAAGCATCCTGCACACTTTCTACGCTGCGAGCCGACGACTACTTTCACAAACTTCTCTGGCTGCACTCACGACGCCATGCCTCGAGTGGTGGAGCGCGTGCCCTCCCCTGCACCGTCGCAGTCCTCGGGGCAGCACGCCGGCTGCAGCAGGGGCGGTTGGGCTTCTTGAGGTTCTGAAAGCCGTCCTTCGACGTGATATGCGTACCCTCTGCCTTCTCACCGCACCGTTTTAGGCGTTATTCTAGGCTCGGGCAGAAAACAGATCCGGCATAGGTCTGCTGCCTCCAGCTACCGGGACCTGCAGGTGCGACCACCTGTGCCGCGTGTTCTGAGAGTTGTTTGTTTCATACTTCCCAACTTACGGATGCTTACCGGCAAGGACACGTCGCCATGTCAACATGTACTGAAATATTCATACACAAGACTGCCCGTGATCACGATCTTGAAGAGCGGTGCCAACGCCAACCACACTAGCAGACATAACGTTGATAATAAGTACAACGCGGGACAAACTCCGACGTTATTATTATTGTTGTTGTTATTATTGTTGTTATCATTATTCTTATTATTATTATTATTATTCTTATTATTATTATTACTATTATTATTATTACTATTATTATTTGTCGTGGTCTGATTTTAAACTTACAGTAACCCCACATAACTGAGTGCGGGTGCCAAAAATCGTACAAGAATCGCTCTGCATTGGGAGCCCCTTCCGCTTTTCGGAGGTTCGGGCCACGGCCTCCGAGGCCGGGCTTGGAGAGGTGGTTGGGGGGGTCATTTAAGGGATTCACAAGGGCTCCGTTAACGGATCTATAAGTGGTTCAGGGTTTAGGGTCCATCAGGGTGCAGCCCGGAGTGAGTCATCTGTCCTGGCGTGACGTTGCAAGCCAGTTGCAAAAAGGGTCCATAAGGGCTCTAACACGGGATCTGTGAGGGCTCCAAAAAGGATCTATCAGGGTTCCACAAGGGATCCATGAGGGTTCCTTTGTTGGGGGTTTGCTGGGGAGCCAAAATTCTATGCGAAGTCGATACTGAGTCCTCTAATATGGGTTATTATTATGGTTGCCCTAATTATACCCCCACTTATAACTGCCCATGAACGAAGTCAATAGGGGAAGTCTGATATATAGGGGCCTTAATAACTACTATAGGGTTTCCTTGAAAGGGGTCTATAATGGTTACTATAAGGGATCTTGAAGGGAACTATAATACAGGGGCCTTAACAATTACCGATGCTATTTGCGGGGTTTCTTATTCTATTTATAGGACAACTGGCCCCAAAACCCCATTCTAGTTTTGACGCCACGCCTCCCGCCTCGGCTTGTCGGAGACCAGTACTGTGACAGAACTCACCGACTTGCTTCTGTAAAGTTGAAAGAGCAGTGCGGGTGCAGAAGTGGGGCAAGGGACGGAGGGGGCAGCGGAAGGGCGGAAAGAGAGTGGGGATAAGGAGCAGAAAGGGGCGAAGGCAGGGGGAAAAGAAGGGGGGGATGAGTCGTGTCAGCAAGAATCCAACTTAACCCTAAACGCCAGGGAGAGACTCGAAACCTTCTAAGGATCTCCGAACAGACCAGTCCTCGAAAACTGCGAAGTGTTTTCGCGCGCAACGTTTCCGCTTGAGGCTTCAGAGTCCAGTAGTCGTATTCCATTCTTCCCTCACTTAGCTCGGTTTAGGGTTTAGGGTACATCTAGCATCAAAGCTACCCCCGATCCTGTTCGAATAAGCCCCATTGTTCCAGCGCAGGTGTAACCAAATTTGGGCTACACAAGCCATGCGCTGTCAACTTCCAAACAGTGGCGGCCCTTCCTCACCTCACGAACACCTAAACCGTAAACCTTTTAGTCTTTGGCTGTTTCATTTTAGTTTCACACTGTCAGGCCTCGAACCACATGCCTCGCCTGGATTGTCCGAGTGTGAGCGCCGAAACCCTAAACCCTAAACCCCCTCACCTCTCGAACACGCTTGCAACATCCTCGCCTTCCGCAAGATCCCGGCTGACTGGGTAGATTCGGGTAGATGCTGCATTGCTCCAGGCCCCAGGAAGGCTCTTCCGACTCAAGTGCAGATCTTGGCAGTGCAGATATCTAGGATGACTAGGTGTTTGGGCCGTTCCCGTCAGCCAAAGTTTCCCATTTTCGCCGGCCATGGGGAATTCCATGGGGAGCTGTGGCGCTGATGCCGGTGTTGTCAACTCAGAGCCGGTACACGACCGCCACTTTCCGATGTATGTGGTCAAGGCGCGACGTTCACAAAACGCCTGAGTTGTGCTAGAAGCAGGCTAGAAGGGTTAGTGTATCTGGCTGCAACAGGCATGCGTTTAGGGTTTCTATTGTAAGGGTACTGTTTTTGGAGATGTCTTCCACATCCAGGCCGTCCTCGCAATACTGTTTCGGCAAGCTTGCATCCCGGATCCCGATTTCGATCCTAACCTAGCCCGACTGGATAGGCCAAATCTCTGGGTATCTCAGAGTTGAGGGATGTTGAGGGGCTTCGGGATCGCCAACGCAGCATCCACCCCAGCCGACAGAGTACAAACAGTGCAGTAGGTCGCTCCTCGAAGCGCTCGAATCGCCTCAATTGCTATTATCTGTTTTCCTCGAAAACACTCGACGCAGCTCGATGCTTTCCGGACATGGAATCTAGCTGGAAAGTTTCCTGACGAAATGCAGACGAGAAGCGAGTTCCCAATTTGTTTAGCAAACACGATCACAAATCTAGGCACGGAGCTACAGAAGATATAGAGCAGCCGCTTCCGAACCCATGCGAAGCCTGCTCAATGATGTACGGTCTCGCTCGAGATCACATGGCCGACTATTCATGGGCGAATTCTTCGAAGATCCTTGAGTTTTTCCTTGATGCAGCGGGGGTTGGAGTGGGGTTAGCCAAGGAAATCTGTGATAAAAGGGTTCGTTTTCACCACCCCACCACAGCAGAGAGTTTTTGTTTCAAAATGAAGGTCCCTTTTTTGTGTACCCTAAATAATAGGTGCCGTATGATATTAAGGAACCAAAAAGGGACCCTAATTTTGACAACCACCCACATAACATAATCAGCCAATGGACTGAAAACCCGACTTAAAGGATCATGGGATTCAGTAACAAGGGACTATGGTCATAATTAGGGTAACTATACTTATAACCCAATTAAGGTACTTATAACCTTACTTACTAAGTCCCATGATCCTTTAAGAAGGTACTTATAACCTTACTTACTAAGTCCCATGATCCTTTAAGTAAGCTATCCACCAAACCCTCGGACAGAGGGCGCCGACGCTGAGGTGACCCAGACAAAACAACAAGGTCCTACGAAAATGGGAGTTTCCGAAAATTAGGGGTACCTTATTTTGGGGTCCTTATAGCAACGATCCTACTATGTAGGGTACTATATTAGGATCCCCTATTTTCGAAAACTCCCAAATGTGCACAGTAGGAGCAGTGAGGGCGGGGAGTGAGCACCGTCACAAGAAATCGCACAATCAAATTAGAGCAGTAATGCTGACGAAGCTTGAAAACAGCATGATCACAACACCGATGCCAACACCTCCTATTGATCCTATTGCCACGACATATTGGCCTCATTCGTTTTCGGGACAGCACTATGGTGTACAAGTAGCTGGTCCGCCAGAAACCATGCGTGCTTCATTTGGTGTGATGTGCGTCCGAGTTGATTTGGACGAAACCTGTGCTGAAAGTTCCTGATTCTGCTCGAAATGCAAGACCCCACATTGAGCCACGGCAGCAACACCCTAGACCCTCTGAAAGTTCTACGGCTCTTCTACTTAAAGTAACTTAAGTAAGACTGCTTTTCAACACACGAAAGCTCTACACCCAAGTCCATGTCGAAACCCCTGAGCCCGCAAACCCTAAATCCCATCCCAAAGATAAAACCACAAACCTTCAAAAGCTGGTGTTTTCAGCTAAGTGGGTGTAAAACACAACCCTGCAGACAAATCCTAAACCCTCAACCCGAAGATCAAGCCCGGGAGCCATCTTGCTGCCAGGTTTCGGACTTCCTGAAGCTCAGGCCAAATTCAAGGTCTACGCTTAGGATGGTTAGGGCTTACATAGGGTTGTGGTGGGCCAAATTCAGGGTCTCTGGTTAGTATGGTTTGAGATTCAGGCTCTCGGGTTTTTAGGATTTCAGGGTTTAGGGGAAGGATCAGGGCAACGTGCGCTGCAGCCCCAGCTCGAAAAGAGTATGCAGTCTCAGGATTCAGGGTTCGGGTTTGATCTTCTGATTTCAGCGGTGAAGGTTACCGCTGAGCCTTAAAACAAAAGAGCCGAACCACCCGAAAGCTCTAAACACCCAAACCTGGACCCCTAAGCCTTAGACCTACGTTTTCGGACTGAGGGTTCTTAAAGGATCATGGGGCTTAGTAACCAGGGTTCCTTCAAGGGCTCCTTTAAAGGGATCTGTAGGGGTTCTATTATAGGGTCTACTTAAAGGATCATGGGACTTAGCAACAAGGGTTATAGCTAGGGTAACTATACATATAACCCGAATTAAGGTACTTATAACCTTACTTACTAAGTCCCATGATCCTGCAAGTTTTGGTCCTTCAGTTTTTTATTGCATGGCGTCGATCCCGTAGTTATCGGTAGCTGCAGCCCAAAACACCGCATTTGGGAAGTGTAGAAAGAGATCGTTTAGGGTTAAGTATGGGGTAAGGAGGTCCTTTTAGGGTTCAGCCCGTGCCTGAAAGAACACTCAGTGAGGGGTTTAGGGTTTGTCAGTCTCGAGTTGTTGGATGAAGATGGCTCGAAGGAGACAGGGCGGGCCGAAAAAGGATGATCGACAAAGACCTGAACCCTAGCCCCTACCTCAACAGGCCCAAAACCCTCTAGAGCCCTTCAAGGAACCCTTAAGGATCCCTTAAAGGAGCCCCCTTATATAGACCTATGATCCCCGAAGCCACCAAGGAAGATGGAGGGTGCCCCAATGCCCCACCGCGCCCTGGAGCAGCAAGGGTTGCTCTACGAATGGTGCCCAGGCCAGGGGTGGTGTGACTTTTGGGGGCCTAAATCAAGGAACCCTAAGAATAGTATAGGTAATTATTTAGGGCCTAAATAACTACCCATACTGTTGTTAAGGGCTCCTTATGAGGATAATTATAGGAAAAAATGAGGCCCAAAACCTTGTTCTAAATATTAGGGCCCCTATTGTAGTGTTACCGGGTTCATTTCGATGTCCGGAGCAGGACCAGTGACACAGTGGTGTTTTTTTAGCCCAGCTCCAACTGAAGACTTAGCAAGGTTGTAGCGACCCCCGCAGGAATGTTCGTGATTTTCGTGTCTCATCAGTGGCTTGGTGCCACACATCCAGATCCACGTGGGGAGCAACTAGCAGTTCTCCGCCAAAGCCTGACGGGCATCATCGAAGGGTCTTTGCACGTCGAAGGCGACATGATCTCCCTGATCAAGGGCAGGCCGACACTTCAGCTTCCAGATGCAATCCGAAAGGAGATCCAACACGGATTCCCCTAAACCCTAAACCCTAAGCCGAGTGTGAGCGCCGAAACCCTAAGCCACAGTCCCCTAAACCCTAAAATCCGAAAGGAGATCCAACACGGATTCCTGTTTCTGGATTGGTTTGCCATCCCGCAGATCACAGCGCGGCATGAGGGAGTGAACGAAGCTGTCACACGGTCGAATGCGGCCCTTGCAGTACAAAGTATTCCGGCTTACGTAGAGGCATCGAACGTCTTTGTGGCCTTGGTTCCCGAGTTGCCACATGTGACTCGAGGCACACGCTGCAACTATCCGTCGTGGCTGTCTAGGGGATGGTGCCGTGCAGAGCTTTACTGCCACCTTCTGTCCAACAAGCCCGACACCAGTGTCATTGTTATACATTCTGCGATGGAGGCTGAGTACATGTTTCCCCTCGACTGGCAGCACAACACTGTAGCAGAAGGCGACTTCACAGTCGAGAGTGACAGGGCCATCGTGGTGAAGCTCAGCGAGATGGCTGTGGACAGCAAGATCCGACATCTAGGTGCCAAGGGCCCTACAGGCCTCTACCGTGTCACGGCGAGGTTCGTAAGTGTCAGTAAGGAATATGGTATCTTGTAGGAGCGAGCCTGTATGGTTTACCTTCAAGCTGCTTCCCACTTCTACCTGCTCCTGCTGCTACTACTGCTGCTGCCACTGCCACTGCTGCCATTGCCACTCTTGCTCCTGCTCCAACTCGACGACAGCCACTACTACCCTCACGACCACCACTACTGCTGCTGCTGCTACTACTACTACTACTACCACGGCCGCCTGCTCGACTACGACCAGCTAAACTAGACACTTGTAGAGTATGACCAGACTGCTGCTAGACCAAGAAGGGAGGACTTCTTGATTACTTCTTGTCTACTACTAGAGTACTGCTAGGCCACGACGACGGCGACTACTACTTACTCCCAGTACCACTGCTCCTGCTCCTCTGCTCCCCACTCCTCTGCTCCTGCTGCTTCTGCTACTGCTACTGCTACTACAATGGTGACGACTACTACTACCATCATGACCACAGCCACCAGCACCAGCACCACCAGCACGACCACGACCACGACCAACAGCGGCGACTATTACTGCTACTGCTTTTTTCTCTTGAACCCGCCACAATGAGTTTGCGGCTGCTGCATCACTGCCCCTTGCCACCAACGCCGCCACCACTTACGAAGTTTGCTACCGCACGGCTGACTCGTCTCGGTATCTGTTTGTTCGTTTGTTGGTTTGTGCGTAAAGTCTCGATGGTAGTGTTACAGGAACGATTTTTTTCCAAGTGGCAGCATTGCCAACGCGCTGCCGTTTGCCACTGTAACTACTTGTGTGGTGGGCATGACCGAGATGATGATGATGACAAGAATGATGACAGCGATGCTTTTGGCTGTGGGATGGCGGCGGTCACTACAGCCCTTGTTGTGATTGCCAAGTTTCCTTGCTCCGCAACTTTGACCCTGATCCATATTATTGTCTCGTCTCGCTGTTCGTAGAAAAGACTCGCAGACAGGCGCAAGCAGACCCCAAATTAACTCTCAGGTTTCTAAGTGTGACCCTAAGCCCAGAAAACCCAATAGTAGTGCCCAAACCAAACCTAAACCCTAAAACCCCTTTCGTTTGAAACATCGAATCCCAACCCTAACAAAATTAGTAGTTCCCGGAGCAGATCCCTAGTTGGGGACCCCATACCAAGAAAAGAGACCTTTAAAGGATCCCTTCAAGGAGCCCTACTCGGAGGATCATGGGACTTAGTGTTTAGGGTTATAAGTACCTTAGTTGGGTTATAAGTATAGTTACCCTAATTACAACCCTAGTTACTAAGTCCCACGATCCTTTAAGTAGACCCTTAAACCCCTCTTATGATAGAACCCTAAACCCTAAACCCCTAAACCCTAAACCCTTATAACTTATAACCCTAAACCCCTAAACCCTAAACCCCTGTAGTACCCCGACAGAACCTCTCAGGTTTCTACGTGGCCTACCGAGCGAAGCTTCTCGGTCGGCCCTGTCTCCCTTGGGACCTCGCCGCTTGGCGGTTGGAAAGCAGTCTTTCCGTTTTCTTACATAGTGAACGGGGGAACTTTATAAACTTTTTGGCCTTATATATATATATATATATATATATATATTCGCCCTATAATGGAAAGTTTGAGCTTTTTGGGGCCTGGTTGGCGGTTGGAACCCAGAGACTCCAATACCCCTTAATTACGGGATCATACCTTAAATCATATTAGGGACCCTACTATAATAGAAGGTCTATTCCTTAAGGGGTATTGGAGTCTCTGGGACAGTCTTTCCGTTCTAGGGGTTTAGGGTTGGCAGAAGACGCGTATAATACAACGGAGACTATAGGTAGATAATTTTTAGGGATTGGAGTTTCATAGTTTAATTTAGTCTTTACGGCGCGCCTGTAGCTAATAACGTGCAGCTAGCGGGGTCGGTATGGCCTATAGTTTGTAACTAGATGGAGCAGAAATCCAAGTTTGGAGTATTCTTCAGGAAGAACCGAAGGCACAACATTTAGAGTTTAGTGCTTATGAGTTTCAAGTCGCCTCCGTAAGCAGCCCAGGTGGGCTTTTTGGAGAACTTCCGCTTTCCAAGCTTCCAGGATGCCCCCTGGCACCCGACGTCCGGGCGGTTTTGGAGTTTACCATGTTTTTCTCAGCCCTACACCCTAAACCTCTTAGAGCTAACTCACGCCCAGCACGCAACTGCTTTTCGAATCGTACCTGCGAGACGGAAAAGCGACTTTAAAAAAACACAGACCTAAGAGGTTTGGGGGATTAGGCTTGAGCGGCTTTGCGGTTTTCCGTGGTATAGGGGCCGTATAGGGGTGTGTGTTTTAGGGGCTTAGGGTCGTCAGGGTCGTCGTAGCGCAAGGGCGGGGCGCAAGGGCGGTGGTGGTGGAAAGCTTGCGTTATCGTCGATCGTCACACCCAGAAGTATTTACGGACATAGGTTCAAGACTACGAGAAGCTGCAAATTGCAAGCCCACGTGTGCTCCAGGAATGGTTAGGGCTTAGGCTTTCAAGAGGGGCGACCCTTTCTGGTCCTTGGAGATCTAGGGAATTGTGGGTATGCAGCAGTGAAAAAACGAAATGCACCTTCGATTGGGCTCTTGGTTTGGGCATATGCAGGGCGGGCTGTTGCAGGACGATGCAAGCAGGGATGAAGATGCTGACGTGTAAGACTGCGGTGATGCCGAAGTCGAATGTCACAACTGAGGCCACTTAAGTCTTGCTGATGCCGTTAATGATGGCGATGTTTTGGATGTGACGGTGATGGCGGAATGGTGATGCTCGGGGCGATGACACCAGTGGTCATGCAACCGCTGATGGGATGGTGGTGGTAGCGGTGCTTTTGTCGAGGGCAGTGGCGACTTGACATGCCATCTTTCCCACACGTGATCGTGGTTTCTCCTGGGAGCACGATGGAAGACAAGGGACCTGCCAGTGAACTCTGTTTCGTGCTCTTAGCCACGGTCATGGATGGTGATTGTTATTGTGGTTGCTGTCGTTGGTGCGGATGTTGGTGCTGTTGTTGGTGCTGCTGTTGGTGTTCGTAGTGTGCTAGTGCCGCTGCTGCGTCTTTGTTTGTTTTTGTTGTTGTCGTTATTATTGATGCTTATCAGCAACATTACCATATGCTTAAGCCCGCGGCAGATGAGTGACTAGTGCGGAGTTTCCTACTATTCAGAGACCGACATAGGAGGATCCGCAGCTTCAGACCCCCCGTAGAGCGGGACTCTTAACTTTCAGAAGGCCCTTAAGGTGGTTAAGTCCATCCTGCGGATAAGGCAATTTCCGACAAGATCATGAATGGTGCTCTGTGCGCAGTCATTGCAGGGGACGCACAAATGCTCTCCAGGCTGATACAGCGCAGCGCCGATGTCAACTATCGAGTGTCTGGCTTGAGCGACTTAGGGTTCTACGACAGTCAGACGCTTCTGATGGTGGCAGCAAAGTCGCACCAAAGCGCAGAGGTGCTCTCAACACTGCTAGAGCTTCGGGCAGATGTAAATGCGAGAGACCGCAGTGGACTCAATTCTGCTTTCTACGCTCGCTCTGCGCAACAAGTGAAGGTGGGGACGTTTCCAAACTCGGGCTTTATCCTTCGTCATTGTTTGAGGAGGACCCCGTAGAAGCAGTGACCTTGTCTTTGAAGCAGCTATCAGGTGCTGGTGGAGGCCAAGGCAGACATTCATTCCATCTGCTCGCCGCTTGGCTTGGCTCCACTGACAGGGGCCGCTTCCTCCGCAGATGCGGGCACAGTCGCCGCATTGCTCGAGGCGATGTGCGATCCAAACCCAGAGCCAAGCGGAGCCGGCTATGGTCCACTACATGGTGTTGCCGGCTTCGCGAGGCAAAGCAACAGGTTCTCCGCTAGCAAGGCCCGCTTGCTGCTCGCAAGCCGCGCCGACATCAACATGCGCGCACGTCCTACTGGCAAGTTCCGATTGATTACATTAGCCGCCCGTGCTCACACTGGCCTTTTGGGCTTTGGCTCCGGCTCAATTTCAGCCCGGCGTGTGGCAGCTCTTCCTGGCATCACCCCATTAGGGACTGCTGCTATGTTAGGTGACGGAGAGTTGGCACAGCTTTTTCTGGAGTTTGGAGCTCAAGTGCTCGAGAACGATCGTGGTGACACGCCGGCCACTTGTCTTAACCGATAACGATACGGTATTGCGAAGGGAGAGAGCTGTCAGTTGGCACATCTTGTCAACTATATATAGTGAACTCTTGTATGTTTAGATATCATGCGAATAGTTTTGTTACCTTCTATAATGGTGCTTGGTAGTATGTTTTGTTATCCTGCAGTCTAAGGACATTGTTGTACATTTTAGTATCTTACAGTGTAGTGTCGTATAGCATCTTCCAGTCTGCTCTAGTCTCCTCTAGTCTAGTAGGAATGTAGGCTTCAGGGTTTAGGGTTTATTAGTTTACTAGGCATTAGCGTATAGTGTAGGGTAATTAGGCTTGAGTCCAGTAGCTAAAAGGTATTCTAGTACAGTATAGTCTAGCCCTGTAACCGAAAAGACCTACCTTTTTCAGGAACTTAAAATAAATATATAGATATATACATATATATATATATATCAAAATAAGGAACCCTAAAAAGGTAGGTCTTTTCGGCTACAGTGTATGCTGAAGGGTCTAGAGCCGAACAGGCCGATTTGGCGGCGCGCAACGGCCAGGACCACTTGCTCCCCATGCTCTCTACATTTACCGTGTGAGCGGGCGCGACGTGTCGTTGGGGGCTTTTGGGTTCAGGGTGTGGGGGTATGGGGGCTTATGGTTCATGGGCTTAAGAGAAACGGCTTAGGGCAGGATTGAAATGTCGTATAAGGGCCCGAATTTGGGATAACCCCACCCACCTTCGTCCCACCCATGGATCCCTTTGACTTTGCACCGTTCCCGCGGATGGTAGGATGGTGTGGCGTAGACCGTCAATAGTTAAACAGACTGGCGCGAGAGCTCTCGGACATGAGGCTTTCCCAGCATCTGTACTATAGGGGCCTTAATAATTAGAATAGGGCTTTGGGGTATAGTGTACTATATTCATATTTAGGAATCCCCCCCAAAATAATACTTAATTACTTAGGCTCCTAAGTTCCTCTTAACAGAGCATCTCACAGCTTCCTGCGGATTTTCCCTGTAGACGCCCGCACTTCGCATGTAGTTGTCGCAAAAGCGCGACCACATCCTTTTTCAGCGTCGTGCTTGTGCCAATCCAAAAAAGTGCGTTGTCGCCAACACCAGCACTGCGACTGAATCCTGCTGTGACTTGTGACAGCTTGGGCGGTGTCAATAATTTAGTGGTGCAGTTACCTCTCTACCGCTGGCATAAGCAATAGACATGTTTGAATAAAGTGGAATGACAGCGACAGTAAAAGATCACTGTAAAATAGTATCTCTGAGATTATGATCGTTGTTCTTGTTTGTCTGGCTTGTCTCTGCAAGAACCCCGGCTCTTCACGTCATGTAGACAGCGGACCCGTCAACGGTGGCCCGCTTACCCTGAGCCCTGACACTTAGAACTGCTTTCAGTCTTCGAATTTAGTTAGTCCTATACCCAAAATACTACTGTACCCTCATGAAAAGGAACCTAACGCACAAATCGAGAAGTGTACCAAAAGAGACCCTGATGTAGAGAGCGACCCGTTTGCGTGATGTAGGCAACCATTTGGAGGTTCATGAGCAGTTGTAATAAGTGGGGTTATAACTTGGGTAGCCATAATTAAATCCCCATATCACGGGACTTATAACCCCACTTCAAACTACTCATGAACCTTCAAGTAGACTTGCCCAGGTTTCGGCCAAATATAGGGGCTTAAATCAGTACCAATACTATTGTGGGGGTTCCTGAAAATATTTATGGTAATATACCCCCAAAACCTTATTCTAGCTATTAAGGCCCCTAGACTATAGTTCCCTACCCTAGATCCCGTTGGGAAGCCCTTTAAAGGGGAACCCTATTCTAATGATTAAGCCGATAGAGTATCCGAGCAATCCCTGAATTCCCTGGGCCAAGAAGCCCGATTCCCTGGAAGTTCCTCCCGAAGTTTTTAGCTCAAGATCTCCCCCCCTTTATCTTTTAAGTGGGTTCCTTTAAAGGTCCTTGAAAGGGATCCATAAGGGGTAAGGTTCCTTTAAGGGATCTATGGGGTTAGGGTTGAGGACCCTAGTAGCTGAGTAGGTAACCTTCAAGTTTTTTTGGGGTTTGTATGACCCTACCATAATTGAAAAGGTTAACCTTTTTTTGGGAAAGGGTACTCAGCTCCTAAGAAGCCGATTATGCTAATAATATAACAGTGAGAGCAATAGTAACAATGATAAGAATGATAGTAATCGCAATATATAACAATAGCAAGAATATCGATAGTACTAACCGTAATAACAGTACGAATCGTCGTGTTCCGTATTATTGATCACTATTACAGAGAGAGGCCAATTAATTGACATTGCTGCCGTGCCTGTCACTCTTGCCCAGGGTACAACTGCCATAAACGACGATATACGCCAAACCCTTAAACCCTAAACCCTTAACCTCTAAACCCCTTCAACCCCAAAATGTCATCGTCAGGCCGCCACCAGAAGCATCTTTAGCTCTGCCTCCGAGATGAGCAAGAGCGTCTGCGCCCCGGAGAGTTGCGCGCAGGTGGAAGGGCTGTCAGGGATTTGATGTTTCTGATTCATATCCTACAACTTCATTCATATTGTCAACATGAAACCAAAATCTCACATTTCGCCTTGGGGGGTATGGAGTAAACCTAAAAGGCCCCCCAAACGTGCCCGTCGTCTTGGCCACGGGTGACGCGTCGGCCTCCGGAGCTCTGACACTCCGATGATACTGTTGATGGACAAAATCCTGCAGGGCCCTAAGGACTCTAAACTAAGGGAACTACGGTATATTCCTTATAAAGGGTAATGCATGATTTTGTCCATCAACAGTATGACCGAGTCAGCGGGAAGCGCGTAAAGACAGCAAAGTTTCCGTGGCGGGATTCAATGTAGGCGTGCTGTTCGTTTCCTGCCAATGTCAGACATATGAAGCATGTACAGGAATCCCAAAAACTTGTAAGCCCAGTGATTTTGCGAGTCGAAGCTCTAATGCCCCAAACCTCTTACAACTGCAACTGTGTGAGCGCCGAAACCGCTTACAACAATGACCCTCGCGAGAACGCCTCGCCTGGAGCGCCCGATTCAAACTCCTAAAACCCGAGTCAAAAAGGTCGTTGCAAACCCTGAACCAGGGCTTCTAGCCTAAGTATCATTAGGGGGTTTATGCTAAGGTCTACTGTCAAAGCAAGCTAAGATCTTTCAAGCCGAGTTCTGGTTCAGACGATTCCAAGGGTTCAGGGCTCTGGATTTTCGCGGTCTAGGATGCAGGGCTCAGGGCTTCGAGATTTCCGGTAGGGCTTAAAGGGTGTAATGCAGTGCTTGAAGTTTTGTTGTGGGTACGCTTGTGTGGTGGTGGACTTCGGGGTTTAACAGTTGAAGAGAGATGCATACTGTAGACCCAGGATAAAAACCCTTCCCAGGATCCAACTCATCAACCTGAATTCAGGCTGTGCAATACACGCTGTGCAACATTATTGCAGGCATACCAGCGATCACCACATCATTATGATTATGAGTTTTATAATGGCTATTATTACCATTTATTATCATTACTATTATTATCGTGATTATTATTATTGCCACATCTCGCAGTGCAGACACTGCTACGAGGTGAAGGCTCGCATGCCCAGCGTGCCGTGGAAACGCCGCCCGAAGAAGAAGGCTCTCCGTTTCAGCCTTGATCACAGAGTCTACCTTACAGGATCTCTAATATGATTCAAGGTACATTCCGTAATTAAAGGATATTGGAGTCTCTGGGATAGACGGCTTAGGTTTTAGGGCCAGCTTCGATTCAGCTCCCTTATAGTAGTCCCTCAAATCCGTTCCCACATTTCCTACGCAGAACCAGGGAGTTGATCGGGCCCAGGAGTCCAGGACGGATCAGGAGAGTCTTGAGCTAGAACTATGCTTGTCTTTATATGTACTTATTGTTTTATTGCTGTTGTTCTTTGTATGTTGATTAATGCCATCATTACGATTGTCCCCTCCAGAGTTGTGGGAACGCTTGCTGCGACTGTTGGCAGCGATCTTGGAAGTGCGGGTGCATTCTCAGCAGGGCTTTTGCCTCCGCTGATCAGCCACGCATTCTGCGGTGGGCGCCCGTACCGACGGCAGATGCGTACTATACAAGCGTCACACTCGCGATGTTGAGAGGTGGGGTACCTACACCTATTTCATGGCTTGTGCTGCCTTTTTGGGGCGCAGGTTCTTCGCATCTGACATGCTGTCGGTTGCTGTCCGTTGCAGGGAGATTCTGCCCTCAAAGCAAATTTTCACCATACAATGTGGATGGTGGAGCTGTAGGTTCGCTTTTGTCATCCATGGTTTATTGATGTTTGTTGTTTTGACCTTCAGCTTTAGACGTAGTCACGATGTCCTAGCCAAGGGGCTTTTTTACCCCGGTTGCGCTGCACGGAACAACAAGTCGGGAAATGTTCAGCGTTCTGATCTGGTTTCTGTGATCTAAGTAAAAGTTTAAGAGTGTGTTACACATGAGCAGGTCCCTCAGCACAGTCATGGACCAAATCGGAGGCTTCTTTCCCCACTATCCCCAGACAAGGCTATACATAGAAAGTTAGCATGGTACTCGCATACCAAGTTCCCGGCCTTTGCGAGGCCGCGACGATGATCGTAGGCACGGCCAATGTCTCCACGAGTTTATATGCATCTGAGGGCTGAGACATACGTAGCAGAACTAGTAGGGACAGCAGGGACAGCAGTAGCAGAAGGAGTAGCTGGAGGAAAGCAGCAGCCGTCAGCAGAACAGAAGCAGCAGCAGCACCGTACATTCCAACCACACCGACCATAGACACGAGACGAAAGGCACGTGATCTTTGGAAAATGTCAGCACAAAGCTCAGATAGGTTTGTGGACTCAGATTATGCGCCTTCAGTTGGCCTGCCCGATGTTAGTGCTAGCACCGGAGTGCCGTGGAGGGCCATGGATTCTTGTTAGAGCGTGAGACTTCGCTTTGGCGTGTTGGGTTGGGTGTAGAGTCAGGTTCTCGCAGGTTCCTTCGTCAGTCGGCACTTTCTGCAACTAGGGGACCCTTATATAGTACCCTAAATAGTAGGATCCTGATTATAAGGACCCCAATATAAGGTACCCCTAAGTTTCGAGAAGCTCCCAGTTGGAGAAGAATCCCCGGGCCTTAGTTTGGGGTTGCGCAATGTAGGAACCTGATTAAGAAACCTTGGGCCTTTATTAGGGTTCCTTATATGAATCCTACTTTTTGGGGTTCTAGGCCCAGGGTTTCTTAATCAGGTTCCTACAGGAGTCAACTTCGTCAAGCGTTGTTTCATTCCTCCTTGGCGCCAGACAGCACACCGGAACGCTCATCTCCAATACCAAGGACAGTCCTGCTTCTAATGCAACTGCACTTCGTGGTTCCACTCGGCATGGTTAATGGTTGCTGCAAGAAGTGCAGCTGTGGTTAGTCACACGGCTTGTTCACTCCCGGGCTCAGACCACATCGTTAACGCAGAAGACGGCAAAAGGTAGCTTGCCAAGGTGGTCTTCCAGGGTGGTCTCGTCATGCAGGGTGTAACCTTTGCTGGATGGACTCCCTTCATGTTGATGAGTATCTTTCACCAAACTCATATCTCAACATCATTGCATGCTTTGCGCGAGCGTGATAGTCGAAAACGACACTATGAAAGCCCTTGCAGAGAGGAGCAGTACCGGCTCCTCGCAGCCGTCTGGAGCCCAGTGCACCCCCACGAGACAGCAACCGCAGAAAAGAGAAAATTCAAGGCACTTTTACTTGAGGGGTCGACTCTCGGAAACAAAGGCAGCCCGATTTGATGGATGAACTCGTATCCCCTTGGAGTGCTTATAAAATACAGTAGAAGCCAGAAAGTTGGAAACCCAATAGCCTCAATCCCTAAGAGCAATGTGTAGGGAATCCGAGTCAGCTGTCCTGGCGTGACGTTGCAAGCCAGTTGCAAAAAGGGAATCCCAGCACTATTTGGCCTTTTTCCGGTTTCCAACTTTATGGAGTTTACTGTAATAGCATACCCCCAAACCCTGGTCGAACTATTGGGGCTCCAGCATTTTCAAGTAGGGCATCCCCGCAAAGGCCTCTATGTGCTTGATTATGATGGTGGAATTCACGTAATATCTAGTATAGGAGCCTGAAAATTAGAACAGAGTTTTGGGTATATGACACTATATTATACTGTAAATATACTACGGGTCCCTAAAAGGAATACAAAAATAATGAAAATTATTCATGCTGACGGTGATGACGGTTCGAACACGCGTGTCGTTCGTATAATAACTCATGTAGGGGACCACATAATTGGAATGGAGTAGTGGCGTGTAGTACACTACATATATACTGTAAATATTCTTCGGAGCACGAATAACACCGATAACTATTCAGGCTTTACGCCAAAACTCCATTCTACTTATCAAGGCCCCTGTCTTATGCCAAAGCTGTTGGGTACTGCCCCCACTCAGTAACAGTTGGATAATATTCGTAAGATAGTTATATTAGGACCTGAATAGTAGCCCTATTCTTGACGGTTACTGTGTTGGGGCAGTACCCAAGTGTCGAGGCTTCTCAAATTCGGGCGAGATGCGGCCCCTCATCGCAAGGGTCCTTTTCTGTCTGGACCCCTTCCCCATACTTGGAGGCCAGGGGACTTAGTAAGTGGTTGTAAATAAGGTTATAAGTACCTTAAGTGGAGTTACCGCAATTGTAACCCTACTTATAACCTGCTTACTACCTCCACTGACCCCCAAGTACGAATCCCTGAACCCCGAACCCTCAACTCTGTCGAAAGCCTTTGTTCGGGCGGGGGGAGGCAAAAAAGCCCTAAACCCCTAACCCGATGGTGCAGATGTTGAGAAGCCAACACTACGAGCAACATTGATGGTGATAGAAGGCAGTGTCAAGCAGCCAACACACAATACTGCACACAATGTAAAATCTACAAAGCAAATGATGGCACCTCAAACGAGGACGGCGGCATCCCCGAAGTCTCTTCATCGTGTGACCGATCAAGCTCTGAAGCCCTAATTAGGTCGAAACCCTGACACGGCTCAGGTTATCTCCTGGAGTGCTTCCAAGAGCGGCACTCCCGCTCGGTGCGATCCTTATCTTGAACGCCATGGAATTCGAACCCTCCTCTGGCTTAGGGTGGAGTCGCATCTTTTAATCTTGAGGACACCTTGTGTGCGCAGCTGCTGCTAAACTCGCAAGAAACGGCGGCAGACCTTCGGTTTGATCTGTGAAGGCCCAGTCCCAGGCCAACAGCAGTCTCACAGTCAGGCGCCCCTGTCATGTGAATCAGAGGTGGGCTGAGACTGGCAAGCAGTCTTCCCATCTGGTGGGCAAGCCTCTTCAAACTAAGACAGCCGAGATTCAAGCTAGAACAATCGAATGCAGGTTCAGATTCAGGAAGCCCTGACTTAGAGATCCGGCGATAGATCTGTCTAAAGCGCCCAGAGTCTGAAGCAACAACTCCTCTCCCGAACCCCTATTACAGACGCCTGAAGAATTCGCAAAACTACCCCTCAGGGCTCCCCATTAACACTGTAGCCTGCTACGCGGTCTAGGGTTTAGGCTTTAGGGTACATTCTTGATGTACTCCTATTATTGTAACTATAGCATAACAGGCTCGAAGCCGAAAATACTCGAACCCGCAAGCGGCTTAGGCCAAATCTTCCGGAGTTTGCTCCACTGGCGGAGGCCTGGTCCGAGCCTCCCAGAGCGTAATACGTCGTAATGCGTCTGTGGAGCTATCTATATATGCACATCTGTTAGCGCCATGCATTCTCAAATATGCATATATATATACACATGTATATATTTGTAAAATATATACAAATTCGGAGCAATATGACTCTCTCTCTCTCTCTCTCTCTCTTTCTCGCTCTCTCTCTCTCTCTCTCTCTCGCTCTCTCTTTCTCGCTCTATATACATACACACATTGGCCGGTGGGTGCGAGGTGTTGTATTTCCTTTTTTTGATGTACCGTTCTGGGGCGTCTGTCGCTCTGTCTTACATGAGAGCAGAAGAGGATTGTTTCCGGACGGTTCAGGCCTTGGGGTTATTTTCTTTGCCGTACAGTTTCAAGCGAGTCACCGCATTTCGGTTCACCAAGCCGACTTAAGACCTCAGGCCTCGCCCGGATTGTTCGACTATGAGCGCCGAAACCCTAACCTCTAACCCTAAAGCTCGAAATTCTAAACCGCCAACCCCCTAAACCCTGAACCCCTAAAACCCTGAACCCTAAACCCCTAAAGCCCTAGATCCTAAAACCCTAAAGCCCTAAGCCTTAAAACCCTAAAACTCTAAACCCTAAACTCCTCCCCTCAACCCTTGTTTTAAAGGGGCGGTGCTCCCTTTTCGCCCTCGAACCAGGCGGGCAGACCACGAGCTTGAGCGAATCCAGGCCAAGATTGCCAAGGGCTGAGGGGGCTTCAAGGGTACCTTATTTTTGGGGTCTTTATGATAAGGATCCTCCTATTTTGGGTACTAAGTGGGGCTATAAGTAGGGTAGCCAGAGTTATAACCCTCCATCTCTAAACCCTAAGCCCTAAATCTCAATCTACCCTCTATTGGACCCTAGATGCCCCTTATTTGGGACCATATATCCCCTATTTGAGGGTACCAGGAGAGTCCTCGATCCTTGAGGGGTTTCTTTGGGGTTTTAGAAAATTTTAAAAAATTGAAAAGGCTTCAACCCTTAGTGTTTCTTCGGGATCTTTTAAAGGTTTCTCAATCTACTTAATGCTTCAATCCTTAATGCCTCTTTTGGAGTTTTAAGTGTCAACCCTTTTGGCCTTTTTTGGGCGTTTTGGGATTTGGGGCTTAAAGGTTTTCTTAATGTTTCAACCCATAGGGTTTACTTGGAGTTTAGAGGTTTCTTAATGTTTCAATCCTTAGGGTTTTTGTGGTTTTCAAATCTTCTGAAAGGTTTCAGTCCGTAGGGCTTTTATGGTGTTTTAAAGGTTTCTTAATGTTCCAATCCGTAGTTTTTTGTGATTGTGTCAGGCTTTTTCATTCATTGCTTCTGATCCTGCTACCAAAAGATGGGGTCCCTTCTTTCAGACACATACCCTAAAGTTCGCACCCCCCTTAGTGGGTCCCTGTCTGTGCACTCTTCAAGAACACAGCAACAGCAGGAAGTGGTAGTTGTCTTGGTAGCTGTGGTGGTAGTGGTAGTAGCAGAAGTCGTGGTGGGGGTGGTGGTGGTCGCCGCCGTCGTGAAGCGACGAAGGGCCTAGAAGCAAAAGACTTGCAAACCGGGAGCTCAGTGATGGTTGATGGATATGCACAAGGCTACGTCTACTGCTTCCAGTATCCATGATGCTTACTGTCACCTGGGAGTTCTTCTGTTCGAACTGTCTGTCTTGTTACTGGTAGTGGTGTGCTCAAGTTGCTGTTCCTCCTCCTCCCTCTCCTTCTCCTCCTGTGGTTCTTGTTGGCATCATCAGCAGCTTCAGGCGAAGACGAAAGAAAGCACCTCGTGCCTAAACCTGTGAACCGCGCCTAGGACGACATGTGGCTGCACGAGATGATGCTGGGCTGTGACACCGAACTCTTCGAGACAGTGCGGAAGGTGGGTGGGGGAGGGGCGGCATTGCCTTGGACCATAGGGGTTTGGAGTAGGCGTTTCGAAAAGTCAGATTAGGCAGTTCAGGTCCTGGGCGATCTGGCCGAGCTCTGCTCCCCAGGAATAGTTGAAGCCAGACCTTAGTGTGCCGTTTGTTTGTGCCGATAGCAGCGACAACAAGTGCATGCGATCCAGCCGTGAATCACTGGACTACTGGACCATCTTCATAGCAGGCCAAAAGGGGTTTAGCCTTTGGGGGTGTAGTAGGGTTTCCATAATAGGGTTCATATTAAGGAATCCCTGCCCCAAGAATCTTAAACCCCCCTTTTGGCCTCTCATCGCATCTATTTGCCTTACCATAACAGGGTCGTCCTGGCACGTGATGGCCGCGCCAGTTCTGTGTGGTGCCGACATCCGCCTCAAGGTCAAAGCTGGGAGCTGTAGTTGGAAGCTGCGCAAGCTGGACATCAGAGCCATGAACGCCAAACTTCATCTCTTGAACCCGTTCGCTTCAAGCCATGCGGTATACCCCGGAACCTTGGATACCATGAACTTCAAAACCTGAGACTTTGCACCCTAACTCGAAGCCGAAAGCGCAAAGATGCGACAAAGTGGGGCCCCACAGGAGCGAACTTAGCCCTAAACCGCTAAACCCCAAACCCCTAACCCTTAAACCCCTAAACCTTAAACCCTAAACCCCTAAACCTTAAACCCAAAGCCCCAAACCCCAAACCCAAAACCCCTAAAACCCCAAACCCTCAACCCCTAAAGCCCTAAACCTTAAACCCTAAACCCCTAAACCCCTAAACCCCACAACCTCCCTGTCGCTCGCCATGCGCTGCCCATGCCGGGATACGAGCAAGCGCTGCTCCGGCTGGCGGATGACAGAGGAGTCGTCGGTTCGGGGTGTCAGCGATGTGGGAGTTTCCGAAAATTAGGGGGTACCTTGTTTTGGGGGCCCTTATAATAAGGATCCTAGTATTTAGGGTACTATATTAGGGTCCCCTATTTTCGGAAACCCCCATGTAGAGGCCTTACTAATTATAATAGAGTTTCGGTGGTTCCTCATCATATTTATGGTATAATAGACCCCCCCAAACCCTATTCTAATTTTTAAGGCCTCTACAATGCGGTTCAATGGAGTTTTCGGGCCCCTTGATTGAAGCTGAGTTTACTGCTGAGTGCCAAACAACATCCGACATCTGTCCTTCGCTACAGCTATCTGCCCTGAAAACAGGAGCAGTGTGGCTTGGCAGCATCAGGTGCATTGCGAGGCCGTTTGAGTGTGCATTGTCAGCCCAAGGAGCCCGAGATTTCCAGAATCCACGACGGCCTTCCACTCTTTTCAACCTCAAACACCCCAACGGTTAAACCATGCATTACCTTGAAGTCTTCAATGACGTCCCTTGCTAAGGACCTCGGGAAATCATCATAAGGACCCCTGAAAAGGTAGCGTAGGTTCTTTAGCGTCCAGATCTGCCATCCATGTGTTACAGCTTGCACACCTATGGTCTCCCTTTTTCCCTTCGTTTGTGGGTCTTCGGTTCCTTGTAGAACGACCCAGTACCAAAAAGGCAGCCCTTTGTGTGATCCTCAGGGCCCTCAGAACCTCTGAACCTTTCGAGCCCTAAGAACCTCTACACGCAAAACCCTTGGAGCGCTTAGAACCCCTAAACCCTGAAAGTCTTAGAGCCTGCGCCTAGTTGTGAGTGCTGAGACCCTTCAGAGCCCTTGAAAACCCCTAACCCCTTTCAATCTTTAGAGGCCTCACCCTGGCCCTTAATCCCTGCACCCCAAGCCACTAACCCCCAAACGCCTAGACACCCTAAACCCCAAGCACCCTAAACCCCTAAACCCTAAAGCCCTAAACCCTAAACCCCCAAAACCTGGTACATGCAGTCGGAAAAGGGCCCGACAAAAAAAAACCTGTAAGCCCTAAGCCGCCTGAGTTGGCCAGGCGGCGATTTGTCCAGGCAGTTGCTCGAGATTGGATCTCTCAGCCACGGCGTGCCACGAAGGCTTCGGGGTTTGGATTTCAGGTATCCTTTACAATAGTTCGGTACATCTTGCATCTTATGGGTACCTACTTAAACCCAAGAAGGAATAGACATCTAAGTTTTAAATGCTAGAGCAACCACGGACTGGTATCGTGGCCTCGTGTTTCGGGGGTTGAGGGATCCTCTAAAGGTGCTAGAAGGGTTCCAGTAAGGGTTCCCTCAAGGTCACTATAAGGTTTGGGGGTTAAGGATTTAGGCCTTGCGGTTTAGGGTCTAAGGTGTCGAGCTCGGAGCGCAGGGCTAAGGCTTCAGACAGTTTCGGGCGGTGGGCTTTGCGGCTGGGGTGTAGCGCTTGGGGTTTAGGCTTTCGGGCTTGCAGAAATCTGAGGATGACGGGGCAGTTGCTTGGGCCAGCTTCTGTCCACAGGGGAGGGCTCCTTTCGGGAATCAAGGTATATAACATAGTATACTACGTCAGACAATGTCATACTGTTTTACACTTTGTAGCAGAACCATACTACTATAGGTTATAGTACGTTACGGCCTTGAGCCCTGCGCTGTTCACCCATAAACCCACGCGAGCCAGAAGAAGGTAGGGCGCCATATCATGAAGCGAGGTGGCTGGAATGTTTTCTACACTCCAACTGTCCGAAGTATATACTTGAAGAATCAGGGGGTCAGGGGACTTAGTCAGTGCTGCTCCAATGGTCCCTATACTCATAATTCCTTACAGCCCCAACTAGGGTACTAATAGCCCTACTCCCTAAGGTTCCTCAGAAAATCCAAGCCCTGTTCTAATTTGTTATTTTGGCCCCTATATTATACAACCCTTAATATAGATCCCTTATAGTAACCCCTTGAAAGAAAAGAACCCTATACCCTATTCGAACTGTTAAGGCGCCTATATTAGCTCGAATCCCGCTGATCCTGCAATTGCACCGAACTCCAAAGTCAGCTCCAAGAGGCTTTCGTGGCCTTGCGTGCTGCGAGGCGGCCTACACTGGCGGTGCTCTTGCATCCTGGCTTATGCAGAAAAACAGAATTCTTCCTTGCACTAGTATTGTCTCATAATACGACTGTAGTATTACAATACTGTAGCATTATAATATGTACCATAGTATGGTAGTACTATAGTATTATGGTAATATAGTATTAGCATTTAAATGCGAATCTTACCCCTTGGATGTCAGCCGGCTTTATGCAACAAGAGCCCGAAGCCTCAAACTCCAGACACGGCGATGCCGCTGTAGGGCTTCTGTTTTCCTATGATACTAGAAGACTGCGACACTGCAATGCTATGACATTATAGTACTATGAAACTACAAAATACAAGCGTACTATGATACTTTTGATTTTTCTAGTAATTACTATGATGCTAAAGTACTATAGTACTATAACACACTGTCGCCCTAACATTCTAGAATACCCTAAACCCTAAACCCTAAACCCTAAGAATACTGCCTGGCAGGCTGGAGGCCATTTCGGAGCAGCGGCTGCCCCCCAATGAGTTCCACATCAACGCCTGCCTCGGCGTCTGCCTCTTGGGCTTCAGGGCTAGCACAATTATATCGTATTATACTGTATACCGTATATACACACACCAAATTATACTATATTTTACTACCTTATATGATGCAATGCAATTTTTGGAGGGGGTTGGTTAACTAGGGGAGGTTTGAAAATGGTAGGGCGGGTATCAGAGTGTGGATTGGGAGTTGGGGTTCAGGTGGCTGCAGAGCTGCAGCGTTTCGAAAAAAAGGCTTGGACTTGGAGAGGTCGTCACGGGGGCAAGAGGTCAGTACAAGGCTTCTGGTTTTTGCGGTGTCCATATTCTGGGTTTAAGAAGTGTTTCAGGGTTTCAGGTCGTGCAACTGCTGGGCTACTTTCAAGGTTGGAGGGTTTGGTGTAAAGTCTGCACCTCCGTTCCTGGCATCCATATGCATAGCCCAGGGTGTCTCTCCACCACAAAGGGTGTACTTAGGATGTGGGGGTTATCGGGGGCTCCGGAATGTTGTTTCTGGTGGACTTCGTCGGGCTTCACGATGCTGAAGAGAGGGCAGATGCGCGGGATGATTTCGCATTTAGGATGGGGTTCTGCAGCCATAATCCCCTACACCGTCGCTGCAAGAGGGATTGTAGTTTACAGGTACGGTTGCCCTTCACTATCGCTCTTAGCGCTCACGAAACGGTGCCTGACATGAAGCTCACAGAGCAGTAGTGCCTAAACCCGAAACCCTGCTGTGTGCTAAGGCGAGGCATCCGGCGCGTGGCCTGCAGCAATGCGACTCCTCTCAGAGCAGTCTGCCCAGCTTCCGCTTCACAGGCCAGAGTCGGTGAGAAGGTTTGAAAAAAGGGGCCTAGATACTTGCCTATACTATTTTGGGGGGATCCTTGGAATTTTGTTATAATAAAAATGTAATATCCCCCAAGCCCTCTTCTAATTATTAGTACCCCTATATTGAAGTCGCAGGGAAGAGAACCGAGGGCGACGTTTGCGAAGCCTCGTCCCATATGCTTTCCCGACAACTCAGCACCCCGCGCCCCCGCCCCGCTTCTACTCTCAAAGAGGAAGAATCAAGACACACAAGCCCCAAGCCGACGTAGCTTCTCGCCAATTTCAAGTCAGGACCAAGTTAAGTGGCTCTTCCCCCTGAGGAGGACCGTGGCTTATAATGTCACCATCAGCGCCTGTGAGAAGGGGCAGCAGTGGTCGCTGGCACTCCAGCTTGGCAGAGAGATGTCCGAGACTGCGGTGCCAAAGGACCGCAGAAACGGCTACTGTAGGGGTCTGAACAATTAGAATGGGGTTTTGTGCCGGGCCCGTTATACTATAATTGTAATAAGGAATCCACAAAATGGTGTTGGCTATTACTTAGGCCCTATATTATCGCCAGCCTCGAACCAAAAGGGACCTTATTAATGCTCTCAAAACCACCTCTTCGTGAACACCTTATGGGATTGAAACAAGCGCCCCATTGGACGCTTAAGAGAGCCCTCAAGTTTCGAGGTGCATTGGTACGATTTCGATTCGGGTTGGGAGCAGGCTGGCGATCACCTCTGAGACCCGTTACGCCGAAACCCTAAACCGAGTGTGAGCTCCGAAACCCTAAACCCTAAACGTTAAACCCACTTAAAGCGAAGTAGAGTAGTTGGCTTCAGTTGTGTACCCGAACAAAGAGACCTCGTCTGGCGAGCTCGAGTTGCGAGAGTGTAAACCTTAAGCCCTAAAAGCTAAACCCTAAACCCTCTGAGCCTGGCATGTCCGAGTTGTGAGAGCGTAAGCCCTCTGAGTACCAAGTACACGTGACGATGATGACTGAGCTGGGGTTGTGTCAGCAGTTCCTCTCAAAAGACCTCTTCTCTTGGCACGCATGTGCCTTGTACTCGCTTGGAGGATCAAGCTGGTGCAAAAAGGAGCTCAAAACAAAAGCCTCTGAGCCCTCTTCAGGATCAATTCACCTACGGCGCCTGCATCAGCGCCTGCGCAAGGGCCGGCCTCTTGACAGAAGCCTGCCGTCGAGGGTTTAAGGTTTAGGGTTTTGGACTTCTAGAGTTGTCCACTGTTTCATCCTTTGAAGTCATGCCTGATGAGTGGCACGGCAGGCTTGAAGGTTTGCTTTAGGCGCTCATTTACTTCCCAGCAGACGCTTTGCAGGCTGGATGCCAAAAAGTGTCAGTTGATCAGTTTTTGCAATCTGGGGTAGCCATGTGGTACGAGTCCACAGCACAGTCGGCGCCTCGGTTCCTGGCATATGCGTAGTCCAGGCGTACTTTTTGTAGTGTTGAGGGTTCAGGGTTTAGGGCCGTGGTCACCTTCACTCCGCAGATGCTCTACATGTGGAGCTGAGTGAAGGCCTCATTGTGCTAGCTCCACATCTGGAACTCAGCCCGTGAAGCATTGCATCCTGACACGTCCGAAGCGCGAAATCACAGTTTCGCTTCGCGAATTTGCCAGAGCGAGCAGGGAAAGAATCCAGGATGGAGCCCCTTGAACTGTTCACCGCACCCAAGTACTGTTTGCAATAGTAGTAGTAATCACAAAAAACGACAACAATAGTGATAGCAAAAATGACAACAATAGTAATAGTAATGAACATGTCAACAGTATTATACATAGTCCCAACCATGACAATAGTTATTCTACTGCTAGACTCTCCGAGGTCTCTGGCAGCGGGCGGTGGCTTTGCTCGAGGACCCAGATGTGCCCCCAATCCCAAGCCACAAAAACGGGGAGCTTTTGAGCTTCAAGATTTAGGGCAGTTTTAGGGTTCGGGGTTCAGGGTGCGAAGCTCTGGCATACACTCCAAGTCCGTGCTTAAAAAAGGGGTTTTCCCACACAGTGTCAAGCAGGCATTCAGACATAGCCCCACCGCAACACCAACTCTGGAGTCTGAAGCATGCTCTCCAGGAACTGGGTCGCACGCCACTCAAGAAGGAGCAGGGTGGAGGGGGGGGGAGCAACAGAAAGCTAGCAGTTCATGCAGTTTCGCACGGGCATGCAGGGGATCTCGCTACCTCCCATTGAGATTTTAGTTCGGGTATTCTTCGGCTGGCAGGCTGTAGTGAAATAATGACTATTGGTAAGACTAAATGTTAACAATGATGGTTTCATTTGGGGTGTATCATGCTATCGTCATACGAAGGACGGGACCTCATGGACTACTATTCCCTCCTCTAACTATACTAAAGCATGACCCCAAACCCTGTTCTGGAATTACCAAGGCCGCCCTATTCGAGATCTTCTTCTCGTCGCCCAAAATCCCTATTCCGTCATTCAGGCCGCTCTATTCGGGGTAGGTTTCGAGCCTAGAGAAGAAAACCTTGGCAAAGCTTCGACTTACCTTTGGTTAGTGGGGAATGGAAGAATGATAGTACTAGATAGTAATAGTAGTTATAGTTGTACCCCATTCCTCCATTCCCTACTAACCAAAGGTAAGTAGAGAATCACGTGCCGCCAGGACACGGTTTGCTGCAGCGCGGCGATCAGTGCCTGCGACGCTGTGGAAGCAGGTAATAAGAATAACAGTAGTAGCAATGGTAATGGTAATAGTGTTTTGGGTTGAGGGTTTGGGGCTCTTGGTTACGTTATTTTCGTCAGTGGAGTTATCGAGATTGTGGCTCATGCTATTAAGGCAACCCGTATTGCCGTGTCTTACATTGTATCAAAGATGACGAGTCCACCATACAGGTACCGTTCACTTGAGCAATCCAAAGTTCCTGAGAACGGTTCATTCAGTCTAACTTATTTGACGCTGCTCTTCTGTTGCTGTCTTCCTTCGCGGCAGCTGCTCGACGACCCCAACCGCCGACAAAAACAACAGTAGTGGCCACATAAGGCCATTAAGATTGTTTTCAATGAAGGGTTTTTTTCAACACTTTTTCGTGCCAAGATAGTTCAGTTTAAGGGAAGCTATGGAAGCACGCTTTTTCTGCATGAATTTGTGGCGGGCAGTGCCTGAGTCCATGTGCTGCGCCTGATGCGTGCCCAATGTTTACAGCGGCCCAACCCCCTCGCAAACTGTATGTACTAGGCCTCAAACAAACCGTTTAACGTACCACACCCGAAACCTCTACCAATAGCCCGAAACATCAGAACACGTCAGTTTCTTAAGGTTCCTTGTTCTAGGAACAGTCAAGCACACCACAGAACCCTAGTTTAAATTCTTTCGGTTCTTAGGGAGCTTAGTTCAAGTTACCGTAAACGGGATTCATAGTCAATACTGTGGTTTCCTGATTATGGCAACTTAAAGTCTTTAGCAAGAAGCCATTACTCAAGGTGCCTTAACAAGTCCTGATTATAGTTATAGTATAATGGGCCCCAAAGCCCTATTCTTACTTATGAAGGCCCCTAAATTATAATCATAGAACCCTACTATAGATCCCTTATAGAACCCTTTAAGGATCCCTTTGTGAAAGGCTCCTATACTCTAGAAGCCCAGGAGAAGGCGGCAGCGTGGCGATCGGCTTTGGCGCTTCTGCAGCAGTCGGGCGAGGAAGGCGGGTGCAGGTTTGCTTAGGGCTATAAGGGTTCCTTCCAAGGGTACTATGAAGGTTACTATGGGGGTTTAGTTTGGGATTTAGAGAGAAGGTTCAGAGAGAGAGAGAGAGAGAGAGACAGAGCGGTTTTAAGAGTGTAGCAAGATGCAAGGAGTATATACCTAGAGAGCCCAATACTGCGTCAGCAAGGCATACATCTTAAACTACATTGTGCTGATTTTGTTGATTTGCGATATTGTTATTGCTTGTAGTTGACTGGTGTTAAGAGATCTTGGGTAGAGTAGCCTCTACCCATGAGCTCAGGGCAGGCAGGGGTTCTTATGATCCAAGAGGTTTAGTCTGAGCTGGCTTGAGCCTTTCAGCGCGGAGCTCTGGAAGCTTAAAATTGCCGGAGTTTTCACTACTGGTTTTCCTTCTGCCTCCTTTCTTTGACTTCCAGTATAATATGCCCCCAACATCCTGTTTTTTGACTAAGGCTCCTATGGTCTCTGTCCGCAGCAGCTACCCTCAATCGTCAAGACGTCCACAAGATGAATCGCTTCAGGTGCAAAAGGCTGCAGCGTATGCCACACTTGCCCAGAGAGCCCACGACCCCTGAATTATTGAATATAGTTCAATACATCTCAATATTCAACACTTTAAGGTACCTTCCTCAAGCAAGGTGAATTGGGCTGAACCCTAAAGCCTAAACCCTGCAATGCGGTCGTCCTTGCTAGGCAGGAGGGAAAAACCCTAAACCCCCAAACCCCTAAACCCTAAACCTCGAACCTCGAGACCGATAGCCACAAACCCAGCCAGCACATCGAGCAGAGTTGCGGAAACTTCAGCGCGCCCCTTGCGATGTAAATAGAGGGCTCGGAATGATCAGTAGTCCTGTTATTTAGGGCTTCTAGAAGCAGACTAGAATGTGCCCCACAGTGCTGTCGTAGCTATCAGGGCCGTTTTTAGCACACTACATTGGAGTTTCCGACACTACCGGGTTCTCGGAGGCCTTGTGCGGGACGTGGGCATCTATGGAGCAAGCATCAGCGCCTGTGAGAAAGGCGCCTGGTCCTCAGGGGTCTAGCTTGGGTACCGCCCCTACTTTGGAAGTTGAATAGTATTTGCAAGATAACTATATATCTAGCCATGAAAAGCCATGGGCATAATAAGGCTACCCTAGAGAACCGTAGAGGTTTTGGAAGTCTAATTCCAACCACTCCCAGGGTGCTTGCTCGAGCAGGGTCCTGCTCTCATCAGTATTCCCCTGGGTCTGTGACCGGGCTTCAGAGATCCCCCAGCATCTGAACTACTTGCCTGTATTCCAAGGGTCTATTGCGAGTCGTAAAGGGGCCGAAGTCTGGGTTCCTGATGATAATTTTAGCATAGGGTACCCCAGAACCCCATTCTAAGTATTAAGGGGCCCTATATTGCCTCTGCCCATTGCACAGGCACAGAGAGAGAGAGAGAGAGAGAGAGAGATTGAGTTCCCCTACGCCATAGCCCTGGCGAAAGAGCGAGAGATTGCACAGGCACACAGTGGCAGCGTGCGGCTGTGCCATCGTTGCAGGAAGGGAGGTTTCAGGCGGTCGTCTGGTGTCCGGGCGTTGGCAAGTGCCGGCTTAGGCAGGGCTTCTCCAGCTGCTGCGGTGAGACGCATAGACATCAGGCATATATGGTTCCTGAAATATACTTTCAGTACAAATGTACCCCAAACCCTATTGAATTAGTTGAGGCCCATGCACTATCTCCAGTACCTTGGGACATCTTGGGAAGTGTTGTGCAATTTTTCAAGAATCGGGTCCAGGACGACTGCAGCATATCTGATGCATCTTGCGACAGTCCACTTTACTCTGAAAACTCCTTACACATCCTGGTCCCTACACGCCCTACACTCGGCCTCAGTGCAGTTGATTGTTGTCCCTGCGGTGCGACCCAGTCAGCTGGGCGGAAACTTACCGTAGACCTCAACTCAAAACCCCGGAGTGGTGCTGCAGAACTCGAAACGCCAAACCTTCACGTAAAGCCGCCTACATTCACTAAAACAGAAAGCCTTGCACCCTAAACCTTTAAACTGACCTGCCTTGTGCGAGTGTGAGCATCGACACCTTTAAACTTGATGTTGGCTTGACTCTAACTTGGAGGATCATGGGACTTAGTAAGTAAGGTTGTAAGTACCTTAATTGGGGTTATAAGTATAGTTACCGTAATTGTAACCCGAGTTACTAAGTCCCATGATCCTTCAAGGAAGAGTGCACATGACCCTGGGACTTCCTGGCACTTGAGAACCTCCGAAACGGTGTAATCCCTGCACGGCGACCGAGCCAGCTAAGCAGGTGGGAAAATTTCCGAAACCCTAGACTTGATGCTCTTGCCCGAAGACTCTTGAATTCGACAGCACTGGCAAAAACTTATGCCGTAAACCCTTACCCGCTAAGCAAGCCGTCAAAGGGAAGGAATGCCTGTAGCAGCACCCCTTGTAGAACTTTTACACAGTATAGAACCTTCAAAGGCCCCTATGACATCTTCCTCCCTCCAGGACCCGTAAGTGGAACCCTATTACAGAACCCTGCAGTACCCTTCAAGGGATCCTTTTTTAGAGCCCTGTAGTCCTATGGTACCTTCAGGTGCCCTGTGAAATCTTCCCGCCCGAGGCGCTGGCAAACCAACTCAAGGTCGAAGGTTTGCGCGGCAACACCGTGACGTGCGCAGCGACGATTAGTGCCCGCTGGCTTAAATTCGACATATACAAACATGTGTTATGATTATCATTGTTGTTACTGTATTGTTAGTTGTGTTTTCAGCCTTGGTCTTAATTTGAATAATGTTGGATCCAGATTAACAAACCCCCCCCCCTCCCCCCCCCGCTGTCAAGGTTAGCCCGCTTGAACTTGTTCATGGGTTCAAGTTTTTCCCGGCCCCCCCCGATTATGTGGGGATGGGGTTAATTATTAAGTCTAGTAGTAAGTAGATAGAGAGTACTTAGTAAAGTATTGCAGTCGTACAATAGGAGTACAGTAGTATAGTAGTAGTACAGTAGTATAGTAGTAGTACAGTAGTATAGTAGTATTACAGTAGTAGTAGTAGTACAGTAGTACAGTAGTACAGTAGTAGTACAGTAGTATAGTAGTATTACAGTAGTATAATAGTAGAACAGTAGTATAGTAGTAGTACAGTAGTTTAGTAGTAGTATTGAAGTCTAGTAATAGAAGCAGTACAGTAGTATATCCTTACTTCGGGGATTTTCGGGGATGGCCCCGTCTAATCGGGGGGGGTTTAGGCGAGCTCCGGTACTATTAGGGTGGGGTCTAATGGACTTCTTCATTAAGCCCATGACATGCCCGGGACGGCCCCGTCTAATCTGGGGGGGTATCTTAATCTGGAAACGACATTACTGCTTGAATGGGTTTTGGAATTACCAGATCGGGTCCGAGGAATTTGCTGCGATTCTTGGTGCTTGGCTTGAGTTTTGCGGCTTTCGGCGAAAAATTTCGAAGACACAGTGCCCGGGCAGGGCATTGAGCCTGGTTCGCTCTTACATAGCATATTCGTGTTCCCTCAGCTTGGTTCCGAATCCGTCCCACGATGCTATTGCATAGTTGCAGTATGGCAGCATTCACGTGACAAGGTGATGGTTCAGAATGAGGGATTCTGAACCCCGAGTCAAGCCGTAAGCCCGTAACCCTCTCGTCACTCAAGACCATAAGACCTGAACCCTAAACGAAAAGGCAAAAACACATTTAATCATCTCAGTTTTTTTATTGTATTGATATTATTGTTATTGTTATTGTAGTTACTATTCTGATTGTTATTGCGGTTATTGTGCTAGTCTTGTTGCTCTGCTGGTCTGACGTGGGGCTGCCGAGGCCTTCGCCCGAGCCACCCGCTGGCAGCTGGCGCTCACGACCTTACACGAGGCCGGAGGCTTCGAAGGGGGTGCTACACCAGCTTTACATGGGGTACTACAATGGCTACTATAAGGGGCACTATTCACGAGCACCTGTATAAGGGGTATTAGAACGAGTACTATAAGGGCTATTGTAAGGGCTACTGTAAGGGGTACCGTACGGAGTACTGCAAAGCTTGGTATTCCCTCGTCCTGTGATTCTTCTCAATCCTCTTACAACTCGATATCCTCATCTTCCACGTGTGGAGGTATGCTATGCTAGGATTGGGGAGTATGGGGCCGCACGAAAGGCTGTAAGAATATCCAGATTAAGAGCAAGAGTAACGGCTTGCGAGCACAAGATTATAGTAACCATAGCAATATATAATTGAAAAAGTAGTTGATACTAGCCTGCAGCAACAACGGCTCTATGACTCCTGCTTGGCGACGAGGAGGACGACGACAACAGCAGAAGCAAAGCAAGCAGCAAGACCACGCAGAAAGGAGGAGCAACAGCTGAACGAACAGCAAACTCCGATTTCTGAACCCTGAACCCCTGAACCTGAAACCCTAAGCCCTCAACCAAGAGTCCCCAACCACGGGACAAATGGAACTTACTTGCTCCATTTGTACTTGCTTGACTGACTACTGTTGGGTCTTGGTGTTGTTGTTCTTGTTATGTCCCGTGGTGTACAAGTAGCAAGCTCAGTGGACCCAGTGCCTGAAGCCAAGCCTGCCTTGCCGCGAGCGCGTGAGTCGAAACCCCTAAACTCCCCGAACTGCTCTCTCTCCCCAGCTTGGAGTCCGACAGTGAAAGCCCAAACCACCTAAAAAATCACCGGAGCCCCGAAACCCTTGAAATCCCTTACCTTACCTTGGGTTAGTAGGGAATGGAGGAATGGGGTACAATTATTAGTACTACTGTATCACTACCGTTCTTCCTTTCCCTACTAACCAAAGGTAAGTTACTTAACCCCCTACTAAGCCCCCTCAATCCCTAGATCCCGTTCAGCTGGGCGGGTGGCAAAGTAGGGAAGAAATCCCCACTTCAAGGGTCATGGGACTTAGTAACTCGGGTTATAATTAGGGTAACCAGTTAAGGTGCTTATAACCTTGCTAGTCCCATGATCCTCCATGATAGCACCCTCATAGATCCCTTCAAGTATCTCTTTAAGGAGCCCGATTGTAGAACCCACAAGTACCCTGAAAGGAACTACTACGTCCCATGATCCTCCAAGTAGACCCTAATCCCTAAACCCTGTAGATCCCTTCTACGGAACCCTATAGATCCTTTTAAGGAGCCCTTAAAGGATCCTTACTAAGTCCCATGATCCTCCATTATAGAACCTTCATAGATCCCTTCAAGGATCTCTTTAAGGAGCCCGATACCCTGAAAGGAACTACTAAGTCCCATGATCCTCCAAGTGAGGCCGAAGCCACCGACTCGAAGTCCCAAGCGGCCCTCGGCGCGGCGATCACCGCAGCTGGCCGGGAAGGAGGGTTCCTTCAACAAAGTCTTAGAGGGCTCTTGGCCATCATCAACATTATATAGAATATAGTATTATGCACACTAATTAGCATATTAATTTTTAACTACAGTAGCCATCTTAGTGCTAGTTTTGTGATCTATTTGGCACCAGGCTTTTCCTCCGAACTTGTGAGGTGCATCTCACACGCTGCAGAACACAACGCTTGAGGCCTTTGCGCGGATGCTTCGTGAATTCCCCTGCATCAATGGCGGGCGGGCAGTGGGTCGGGGGCGGGGGAGAGTCGCGGAGATCTGTTTCGCACGCGCTGCCTGAGCAATAATGAAATCCATCAACGGCTGGCAACAACAGCAACAGCAATTCCCCCAAGCAACAACCGCAATGACACGGATCGAAGAAAAGCTCGAGCCACATGATGTCATCCAACGGATAACTTCTGCTCCCTTCCGGTTGCTTGATTCTTGCCGAGCCTCTGATATCATTTACTGCACTTAGAAGAAACGAAGCAGTGGCATCAACAACAGCAACGCAACCGCGAGACTACAATATTGACCGCGAAGACCGTTACGAAAGCCGACGGCTACTGCCAGCCGCCAGCCACGGCCCCAACCGTCACAACTGCCGCCGCAGCACCACCCTGCAGCATCACTTGTCAAGAGGACGACGGCGGCGGCGGAGGCGACGATGGCGACGACTGACTGCAACTGTGAAAGCACGACAACCATATTTCTGCTATCTCTGCTACCAGTGCTGCTTCTGTCCGGCCACTGTTTCGACCAACTCTGTCTACTCCAACTGGTACCGAAACCGGCTGCTAAGAATGCCGATGGTAGTGAGAGTGAGGATTTGCACGATGACGTTCTGCGAAGACCAACCAAAGAAGGGAGTCAACAAGCAATATAGGTGTAGGTATTTATGGTGCAACCTTGGTCTCTCACTGAAGCGCTAGCGGATGGTGGTTGTGGGCCGCACGAGTCTTCCAATCGAAAGTCTGGGTGTAGGCGAACCATGACGGCGCCGGAGGGATTCGCCACACCCTGAACCGTAGCGGCGAAATCTGAACCCTCAACACCTACCGATACCTGCCGCAACCCTAAATTCTTTGCCTGAAGCAGTGCCCCGAGTTCCCAACTTTCCGCGATCTTGCCGTTCCTTTACAAGGCTTGCGCTGCAGCATTCGCTTGGGCGCAGGTGCGGGGCTATAAGTGGCTAGAAGATTATAGAACCCTTTAAGGACCCCTCTAAGCGAACCCCATTCTATCAATTAAGGCCCCTTTATGAAGCATCCTCATCAGGCCAGGTCCATGGGTCAAAGGGTGAAAAATATTAGCTTCAAGACCTTCAAAGGCCAATATGGGGCCCCATATTCCCCTAAAGGGGGTTCCGACAAAGTACCCTTCAGTAGTGTAGGGTACCAGTGTAGGGGCCCTAATAATTCGAACAAATTTTGGGGGTTCCTTATTCTAATTCTAGTGATTCTAGTATAACATACCCCCAAACACTACTCTGATTATCAAGGCCCCTACATGAGGCCTTAATCTAGCTAGGGGTCGGAACAAATGTCTGAAGAGTATTTGTGCTCCTTATAGTCCCCAGTCCCCACCCCCGCCTGAAATTCTACTTGTCAAGGTCCCTATAGCACATCCCGAAGACCCTGAAACTGCAGGCGTTGGCTCTTCTGCGAGATGAGGTCCAGGCCGCAGACGGGGAGTTGAAAGCTGAAGCTTTGGGCTTTTGGGCTCAAGGCTTCAGGGCTTGTCGCGTAGGCCTAGGAGTTCATTAGGGCTTCAGGGTTTGGGAGTTTTGGGCTGCAAGCTTTTGGTGAGTCAGAGCAGGGTTCCGAAGGTGCACGGCGAAGTTTCGCATGAGACCTAAAGCCTGCGCTCGGTGTACATGGGAGCCTCCCATCTCAGCCCCAACCACGCGAGCAGCAAGCCGAACCTGTTCATGAGGACCCTGAACCCCACCATACCATGTACCTGTGGGGTTTGTGGCACATACAAGGGTACACGGCGCTTGATTCTCCAGTCACTACTTTTGAAGGCTTGCGATGCTGGAGCCAAAATGTTCCAATTTCTGGTTGAATCCCTGATTGATGCCACCCTACTCTGGCAACCATCGCGAGAGCTTGACCCCAAAGAGTGGAGCCCAAACTCAGAAAACACTCCAAACGAGGGAAGGGTTGCGGTTAGCTTCAGTCTACTGCTATCAGGGCTTCGAACAGACTCCCTAATCCTTGCTGCAGGAGGTGGCATACAATTCTGCCATCACCGCGTGCGACAACGGGGGTGAGTGGGAGCGGGCGCTTTTGCTCTTGCAGGCCACTGCAC